CCTGTGTGATACTAAGGAAAACAAACATTAGGATTTTCTCCTGTGTCGTGGGTGGGTCGATCTCCAGTGGTGTTATTTTTCGTGTTGGGCTGGATAATCGCATTTTAAAATCGAAAAAAGTTTCCAAAATATTTTTTTATTTATAGTTCAGTGTCTAATCTACATGACACAAGGCTTATATTATAAATAAGTTTATTTTAAATATATAAAAAAAATTCTTACACATTAAAATCCTGATCGCTCTGGGTTGACCCAACTCCCGATTGAATGAAAAAAATGTTCTTTAAATTTTTAATGAGAAGGTTCATATCAAACAACTTATTTAGATTACATAACAAATAGTTTTTCTTCATAGTAATAAAATATTTTTAGTTATATTAACAATACTTTTGCCACAATTTGAATTTAAAATCGTGACCGGGCATTTTATCTCATCGCTCTGCGCTGAGGTAAAACATCGCGCACATCCCGAGATACGCGTTTTAGACACTATGTTCCCCTCCCGCGGGGCAACGCCAGTAGTGATCTAACCGCCGAGCAGGATACATGTGTGCCACGTTCCCGCGCTCCAACATTACGAAGGTAAGTTTATGATTGCTCTGTATTTGGTTCTCGAATTTTATGATTGCTATGGCACGTTATTAAAAATAAATAGTAAGCTTGTGAATGTGTTTGTTATGTGATTTAAGTAATCGTTGTGATGTTTTTTGTGGGAAGTAATCACAACTGTCTTCTGCTTTTACATTCGGCTATATTTATGATTTTGTGACTTTATCTGATCGCTATGGCTGTGATTGCTCTGTCCAAAAGGACCAGAGCGATGATATTTTACATTAATTGGACGTTATAAATCTATTTTAAGTAGTATTACCGAACTGTAATAATGACAAACGATGCATATAACATTTAATTTATAGCCTTTGTTGGGTTTCTTTGGGTAAGCTAAATCGATAAACAGATTTTGACGTATTTTATCTTAATGATATTATTATTATATTTTAATTTAGTTAACCACAACTATAATCCTTTCTTCTCTAAAATTTAATGGCAACTATTGTTGCAGATTTAAATTATGCCTCAAAATAAATTATCAATTGAAGAAAAACGTCTTAGGAAGAAATTGGCTGAGCGTCGTAGAATGGCCAAAATAAAAAATGATCCAGATTTATACGCGCAATGGCTTGTAAAGTCAAGAGAGAGTTACCAAAGGAAAAAAGCTCGGGGCACAGTACTACCAATGAGTGTTTTGACTCCAAGCCAGCAAAAGATTCGTAGGAAGAAAAGTAGGCAGAGTTCTCGACGATATTATCTAAAGAAAAAAATGGATAAGTTATCAGCAACCGATGAGCTCCCAATAAATGAAGAACCCATCTATAAATCTGAGAACCGTGATCCTCTTTCAAATGTTCCTCAATCAGCTCCAACCTTAAACACCTACAAAGTAACAACAAAACATAGAAAGATACTGCAAACTGTAACACAAGATGTTGAAAATGAGTTTAACATTATTAATCGTGTAAAAGATCATTCTCAGACAAGTTTTTGTCTTCCACAGACTTCTAAAGAATATGACAATGTGGCTAATTTTGATACACCCGCATCACCGGTTAGTAGACTAAGACGAATAACAAGATCTCAGCGGCTATCGCAAGGTACTGAACGAACGAACGAACTAACATGCATTGGTAGTGCTTCCTCCAGCATCTGTCCCGATAGTCCACAAAGTTCTATTAGCAACATATCAAATACGTCTCAAAAAAGTCTAGATTTATTCCCTAAACATAAAATATCGTCAGTTGCAAAAAAAACCTCTCCATGGAAAGCTTTATTAAGAAGGATGAAATATAAAGCTAATAGGGAATTAAAACTGAAAGATCAAAAGATTCAAAAGTTGAAAATAAGTAATGAACGTATTAGAAGACAGTTGAACAGGTTAAAAAAACAAAGTAAAGAAGGAAAACGTTTAGAAAGAAAAATGTTGGTTTCAACTCCTAACAAAGATAACGTACAAGAAATAAAATATACAGTAAAACAACAATTAATAAAAGATATAAAACTGTTTTTTGAAGATGATGATATTAGCCGCATGACATCTGGGAAAAAGGAGTTTATTACTAGAAATAAAATAAAAAAGCAAAAGCGCTACTTAAATGATACCTTACACAATTTGCACCAAAAATTTACTTTAAGATTTCCACAGCACAACATCAGTTACAGCTTCTTTTGTAAGCTACGAGCTACGTTTGCCTTTTGGGCCGTTATCCCAGATGCAAAATGCCGTGATACATGTCTTTGTGTAGAGCATGAGAACATGGATTTGGTTACCCTATCATTGAAAAAATACTGCATTATTAAAGAAAAATCATCAACGGAAATCTTAACCTCCTTAACGTGTAATTTGAGAAGTATAGACTGCCTTACAAGATGTTGCATTATCTGTAAAGAGAAACACCTGGAATATAAAGAGTTTGATAACAGTAAGCAAATTGAATATTTTAAGTGGACCAAGATCAAGAAGACTTACATGAAAAATGGAAAAGAAATGAAAACTACACAAACCTTAAAGCAAAAAGTCGAAGCTAATCCCAAGGATGTTATTAATTATTTTGAAAATATATGCAGCTCGTACATGCATCACTGCGCCAATATTATAGCCCAGAATAGCTACATTAAAAAACTTAAAGCTAATTTAAATTACGATGAGTGTTTAATCCACTGTGACTTCAGTGAAAATTATAATACCAAATACGCGACTGAAATTCAATCATTTCACTTTGGCGGTTCGCGCCAACAAGTAACCTTGCATACCGTAGTAATTTATTACAAAGAAGATGAGTTACTCCAGTCACAGTGCTTCTGTACGATTAGTGAGAGCTTGAGACATGACGCTGTAGCTGTTTGGGAACATTTGGTGCCAGTCCTCCTTTATATAGAAAACACATTGCCTAGAGTAACGTCTTTGCACTTCTTGTCAGACTCACCTTCGGGTCAATACCGAAACAAGAAATTGTTTCATATTATATCAAAACTACACTGGCAATACCCAAGTCTACGAAAAGTTATATGGAACTATTCGGAAAAGGGTCACGGTAAAGGTGCTCCTGATGGTGTTGGAGGAACGCTTAAAAGGACTGCCGATAAAATGGTGGCTCATGGATTAGATATACCTGATACGAAAACGTTTTTAGCTTATCTCAAAACAAATGTGTCAGGAATTATCCTGGAAGAAGTTGCAGAATCTGCCATATTAGAAAAAGACATGTTAATCCCCCAAGATATAAAAGAATTTCAGGGTACTATGAAGGTACATCAAGTAATTTGGTCAGCGAATACTAAAAACGTTTTGGCCATGAGGCGACTAAGCTGCGATTTAGGCAATTGTTCACAAGAAGCTGTACAATGTCCGCACGGCAATCACATAGGCTTTTACCAAATTGATAGCGACCCGAACCTAAACACCTCAAAGAAAAACATGTCACGGACATCAAAGAAGACCAGTCGGCCTTCGCTGGTCAAGCGTTCAAAAAACTGCGATCAGGAGAAGCAAATTCAGCTTCCACAAATGCTAAATAATAGACAGACTATAACTGCAAATCAAAGTCAAGAATCATTACATAACTCGGACCTGCCGGATAGTTTTTGGGATGAAGTCCCATCTATTGACTATGAAAATTTAATTACTCCAAGTATTTCCGAGGTAGTTTTATCTTCGTTGCAAAACGATAAAACCTTGACAAAGGCTGCTGCAGCAGAAGATTTATCCGACTCCGATGACTATTCAATTTTCTGAGCCTTATAGAAATTGTATTTTGGTGTTAAAATTTGTATCATTATAATTTTCAAACAATATTTTAATCTGATCTGATCATCTGAATTGCATTTTACTTTGTGTTGTTCTTTTTAATTCTTTACTTTCCACTAAAGATATAGTTAAGGAAAATGTGATTATTACAAATCTCTTAGATAATTTTGAAAAGACTGTCATAATCTTAGTCATAATTCTAAGTCCTATTAAGCATTATGATTACAAATAGTTACTTTAACCAATTGTTTTTTTGTTAGAATTTTATCTTCTTTAATTACTTTTTAAAAGCTAATATTTAATGAGTCTAAGTCATTTTATAACTATAAAAGAATGTAGGTAGGTTGGTTGATTTCAAAATATTTTTAATTTTGTGTCTTTTACCTAGAAGTGATTAATTAAGTCCAAATAAATGAAACTAAGCCAAAAAGTTGTTTTTTATAGTTATGTTAATTTGTTATTTAAGCAATTATTTTATACTAGCTTTTGCCAGCGACTTCGTCCGCGTGGAATAGTGACTTCCGGCAGATCTTTTACCCACATTTGTAGTTCCCGTGGAATGGGAACGTCTCGAAAACGAGACGTTCCCGTTCCTGTATGAAGGTCGCGTTTAGAAAGTGTACATTTCTAACATATTATTATAATCTTGTTACACGTACCCTGAATAACACTGAAAACGGTTAAATAAATAATATTTTATCAATATTAATTTTTTGTTTCACTAATTTCACAGTTTTTGATTGCTCTGGCACCAATTATGATTGCTCTGGTCGCAAAAATTTTTAAACTTAAATATTTCCATAACTGTTTATGTAAATTGAAGGCCAATAGTAAAAATGTACTATTTGAATATCATTATTTGTTATAAGATATATAATTACCATTAAATATCAATATCTGAAAAGCACCAGAGCGATCACACGAATACGCCAGTTTCGGAGATTGATCCGGGTGCGGTTACAAACATAATGTCACATACACAGATTCGGAACAACAATTTGTTGCATCACACAAAGAGTTGTTCCGTGCGGGAAACGTACCCGCGACACGTTGCACGGCAGACAGTTGCCCAGCCACCGCACCAACAGTGCAGTCAATTTATACCACTCTGGTCGAGCCGACCCATTCGTGCCGAAGCATGGCTTACCCACTATCTATCTCTCTACATTCTGTTTAATACCTCCCCGTCTTTTCGCAGGTCACCCTCACTTCTTCAACCAGCTGTCCTGCGGGCTGGACATCATCTCCCTGGCTGGGGAGTGGCTGACGGCTGCAGCCAACACCAACATGTTCACGTATGAAATCGCGCCTGTGTTCATCTTGATGGAGAATGTGGTGCTGGAGAAGATGAGGAACATGATCGGGTGGAGGACTGGAGACTCTATATTGGCGCCTGGTAAGTGGAGAAGTCTTATCGACCTTTAACAAGTGGCTTTTGGACTCTTGAAGGAGTTGGTAGTGATGTGTTGTATACCTACTAGACAGGTCACTGCAGCGTGAACGCTGCTCATGAATAAGAGTCCCGCTGTGACTTGAAACTAGTTGAGCTTTTCTCGGTTCATTCACGTGAACAATTATTTACTTAAATAAATATATAAAAAAAACTAGCTACTCTCACGCGTTTTCACTGGCTGCTCGACTCCTATAGAATGTAGCGTGATGTTTTATATCCTATAGCCTTCCTCGATAAACGGACTAACAAACACAAAAATAATTTTACTATGCAATTGGAACCAGTAGTTCCTGGGATTACCACGTTCAAACGAACAAACTCTTCAGCTTAATAATATTACTAGCTATTCTCGCGCGGTTTCACCCGCTGCTCCATTTAATCGTAGCTCGATGTTTAGACTATAGCACTCAGGAAAATTGCAGCTATCTATCAGTGAAAGAATTTTGGCAATCCGACCAGCGGTTCCAAAGATTACCCCTTACATACAAACTTACAATTTTTACCTCTTTATAATATTATAATATAGATATAGATTTAATAACTGCATTCTGCGTACCTACCAATCTTTATTGGTTTCTTGTATGCCTTAAAACTGTGCCGACATTATCTGCCCATACAGCATTCTTTCTGCCACCTATATCACGGTTTTTAATCACCAGGTGGTTCTATTTCGAACCTGTACGCGTTCCTGGCAGCCCGGCACCGCAAGTTCCCGCAGTACAAGGAGAAGGGACTCTCCAGCATCCCCGGACAGCTCGTCATGTTTACCTCCGATCAGGTCAGTCAACTGTCCAGTTACTTGGCAGGCTTTTCTCATTTTGTTCCCAGATTATATTCTCTGAAAAAATTTAACTTTATTGCTCTGTGACAACGAGAATGCTGAATACGTGATGGCTGAATAACCATGGAATGGATGGATTCAGACCCTAAGAAGATGGACGTGGTTGGACGGGTTTGCTGGGCAAGAGCATTAAGGCACCGCGGCCTCGGCCTAGAGCAGGAGAAGGAACGGCAGGGTTTTTAGTCAGTAAGAGTCTGACACTGTCTCTCGCCCCATTCGGGAGAAGTCATTCGCTGATTTTCTCATCACAAAAACAAAAGAGCATTGGCTGGGTAACTGGCTACTGCGCAACGTGACTCTGGTTTGGTTCACGTGTGAGAGCACGCTGCTCTTATTCCTAGGGAAACAAATGAAGATATGTGTTTCAAAAAAAATGTTGGTAGATTTCACTTCATAAACAACAAAGTGCGGCAGAGCTATGCTTCGGCACAAATGGATCGCCTCGACCGGACTAACACCATGGCCTCACAGAAAACCGTCGTGGAACAACCACAGCGTTGTGTTTCGTCTTGTGAGTGAAGTTACCGGAGACTCAATCCTTCCTCTCATCCAATCTAAATCTCTTAAACCTTAATCCCCAAAAGGTCGGCAACGCACTCGTACTGTTGTTGCGGGTGTCCATTGGCGACGCTGATTGCTTACCATCAGAAAACACATATATTATAAGTTTAATATAGACTTGTAAAAGGCTGTTTTTTTATACCAAGGTGAGCTCTATATGTAAATATTATTATTACACATTATATTGTTGTTCCCAGTGCCACTATTCAGTGAAATCGTGTGCGTCTGTGTGCGGTCTGGGCACTGATTACTGCATCTGTGTGCCGTCCGACGAGCGCGGGCGCATGATACCCACCGAACTGGAGCGGCTTGTGAAGTACCACAAGGATAGGGGCAATGTAAGTCTACATCGCTAAGAAACAAAGTCGCTTTCTCTGTCCCTATACCCCTATGTATGCTTAAACCTTTGAAACTACGCGACGGATTTTGATGCAGTTTTTAAATACATATAGATAGAATGATTGAAGTGGAAGGTTTATATGTATACTAACATTTCTTGAATTGTTGAATAAACTTACTAGCCATTAAAAATAATAATACAAGAATTGACTACTTGGTAGACGCGGTGGCTGGACAGCCGTGCAACGTGTTGCAGGTTCGATTCCTGTACGGTACCAAATCTTGATTCACAAATTGTTGTTTCGGGTCTGAGCGTGATGTATATGTCAATTATATGTTTGTAAACGCATACACATCACAGGAAAAAATCTTAGAGTGTGGTAAAGTTTAGGAAAATAATTGACATAACACAAATAAATAACAGTGATTTTTTGACCTTTTTACTGATCAAATTGATAAAGAAATCAAGTGTTAAAACATACGTCAATTGTAACAGCATCCCTAGAAAATGACAGGAAATTGTTATGTGGAAATAACGTCTATTACCTTCTACATTAGGTCCCATTCTTCGTGAACGCGACCTCGGGAACAACAGTGCTGGGTGCTTTCGACCCGCTCGAAGAGATCGCTGACATCTGCCAGAAGTACGACATGTGGATGCATGTTGATGTGAGTACATCCAAACTAATATTATATATGCGAAAGTAACTCTGTCTATCTGTCTTTTCTTTTCTGTAAAATTTTGTACAGACAGACATAGTTTGGAACTCTAGAAAGGACATAGGATAGGTTTAAATCAGACATCTGCAGGAAGTCACTATTCTACGCGAACAAAGTTGCGGGCAAAAGCTAGTAATACATAAATAAATAGTGCCGGAGAGCCATGCTTCGGCATGAATGACCGGAGTGATACCACGGCCTCACAGAAAACCAGCATCACAGAACCACAGCGTTATTTGTCGCCGTATGAGTAAGGTTACCGGAGACCCAATCCTTAACGTTCCCCCAGCAAAAGCATAAATGAAAATTCCTAATCCCCAAAAGGCCGTCAATGCACTCGTAACTACGTTACGGGTGTCCATGCGCGGCGCAGATTGCTTACCATCAGGTAATCCCTCTGCTCGTTTGCCGACCTATTCCATGACAAACAAGAATAGATATGTCGGTTTATAATGATATAAGTCATGTAATCGTACTTGTAATAATAAGTTAACATTGCAATGTTGTTGCAGGCTGCATGGGGCGGTGGTCTTCTGTTCTCCAAGAAGTACCGTCACCCTCGCCTCACTGGCATCGAGAGGTAAGTTGTTGGTTAAGAAACTATGTGTATTACAAGTTTAAATTGTCACTGGCTAACACATTATTTGTTTAAGACAATTAAGTCATCAAGTAACGTTTTTTCTTTTCAATTTTGTTATTTACCAACTTAACAAAATGGCTAAGAATTAATTGATAAATTGATCAAAAATAGTTTAAAAAATCTACTGAATACTTGTTAAAAAATATTTAATTTACTTATTTATTATTTATAATATATATAAGATATAAGACTCAAATATTTTTTTTTTGCATGGACTTGGAACGATTATAGAAGTTTTCTTATCCTAAATATATTTGGAATATGAAACTAAAATTGTCATCAAAAGTTGTATCGTCTAGCTCCGCACCCGCTGCTCGGCTCCGAGTCGTAGCGTGTTGTTTTATAGCCTAACTATAACCTTCCTCGATAAATTGACTAACGAACGCACAAAGAATTGTTCAATTCTAACCAGTAGTTTCGGATATTAGCGTGTTCAAACACAGACATAATATGATGGGCGGTTGGTTGGCGCGGTGGCTGAGCAACTGGCTGCCGCGTAACGTGTCGCGGGGTCGATCCCGTACGGAACAACTCTTTGAGTGATCTACCAATTGTTGTTCCAGGTCTAAGTGTGATGTGTATGTGAATTTGTATATTTGTAAAACTTACGAGACCAGGGAAAACTTGTAGCACACGGTTTTTTTAAAGAAAAAATACTTAAATAGATAAACACGCCATACAGCTTAATTTAACATTAGTAATTAGTATAGAAAATTCAACACCAAATAACATATTAATTTTCCTTAACAACCACCTAATTATAACTGTATTCTTTATCCATCTCTATACTCCTAATTGCTTCCCAACACTTAATAGAATCCAAAGTACAATCGGCAAAACTTACTCATTATCCCCACGTTAATCCGGGCTGCCATTAACGTCTATCAATCATGACTGCCCTGCGCTAAATGCCGATGTACTTGTACTAAGCCAGGCGCGGTAGCGGGCGGTGAGGGGCGAGGGGGAAATCTAGCTAAATGCAGCAGACGCGCGCGTTGGACCATGTGACAGATGTTGTAGGGTTGGTGCTCTGTAGAAATTTAACAAGAAATAGATATAGCATATTTGAATCTTTTTTTTCAAAGTAGGAAAAGTTTGTTTTGTGTTGAAATGGTTTATTAGTAAATTTAATTTCTCCCAAAAATACATCTGAATTATAAAAACTTCAGAAGTAATCTTTCGAGTAGAGCTTGTTCTATCGATCAAGATCATGATTTTCTAAGTAAAAATTACTTATTTTATTTTTATAAATTTGACTTTAATGTAGGAATAATATATGTGTATTTCAAAGTTTCTATAATTCTCATTAAAAATCAAAACTAACTTTTATCCAAAAAAATATATGACATAATTATATAAAAAACCAAATTATTGCAGACTAAACCTTATTAAAATAGGATACAGATTAAAAATAAACAATTTCTCAATATTTTAGAAAAACAACACAAAAATATCCACTCGCCAACCCTACATTACCCGTCAGGGATTACGCGTAGCTCGTAGCGCCTACTTTCGTAGCACTCGTAGCGTTTCGTAGCAGGCCGTTAGTTCACATGTCAATCCCGAGTTACATTCCGGGGTAAAACGTTATAGCTGATCGCGTTAAGCCTGTAATAACCTGAGGCGGGAGAGATGCTGTGTTTATTCTAATATTTGTTTTATAATTTTATACTAGAGATCCCAAATCCCTAAATCTCTAAATCCCTAAGCCCCAAAAGGTCGGCAACGCACTCGTAACTCCTCTGTTTTTGCGATTGTCCATAGGTGGCGCTGATTGCTTAGCATCAGGTAATCCTGCCAGTTTGCCGACCTATCACAAAAAAACAAGAGATAGCATGCTATTGATGAAATGATTAAAGTAATATAGTCATGACTTTTTTATATCAAATCCCGAATACGAAATCGAGCAAGAGACTTAGCTCTTGATTCCCGGATAAGAGTGGATTTTCTCCAGATTATGGTCATACGCCTACTTCTTTTTTAATTTGTGCAAAGGTAAAATAGAAAAGTTGAGTTGAAAAAACGTCACATCGCTAAAAAACCAATTAGTTGCAAAAATACGCCAAAAAACAGAACTGAACATTTTTTAAACCCAGCCTATCTTGCCCTCTGTCCTTACCCTCTTACCGAAGCGATGCGACCTCTTTTGAGATTAATTAAAACTCCCCTCGTGTAGCTGTGACTAATAAAAAACAAAAAACTGTCGGTCGGTACATACGTCTGCACTTGTGTGTAGCTCATTTATCACGGACTACAGTTTAAAATAGAACCTCTATTACACCGTAGCGTTCGTCAAAATAATTGGAAGAATATCCCACCCACACGCAAAGTCAAAACTATTTATACTTACTAAACCATAGCAGGTACTTTTCAAATGTCAAAATAGAATATAGTCAGAATCAGTTCGTCTGAGCCGCTAAGGAGTGGAATTCTTTACCGGAGTCCGTGTTCCCAGAAGGGATATAACCTAGGTATGTTCAAGGCCCGAGTGAATAGGCTGCTTATGGGTAGGTGTGCTCCATCGTAGGTCGCATCATCACTTACGACCAGACGTGACAGCGGCCCATTATAACCAGAACAATGTTATAACAATGTGCAATTGTTTTTTGTATTTATTGGCATTCAAACTAAATGATAGATCTCGCACATTTTTTGAACTTTTATCGCCTTTGGTTATATTAATATTAACTTGCCCTATTTCAACTGACAAACGAACAGAAATAACAACTCAAAATATATTAGAAACACACCATTATTTTCAAAATAAAAAATTACCTAGGTACTTAATTTGCAACTCTACAAAAACCAATATAAGAAACAAATTCGCATATTACACTACGGTGCAATTGCATCCCAATGCGACCCTTCAAGCTGTAAAAACAGAGTATTATCTAAAGCGCCGGCAGAGTGCGCCACTGTGCCAACACGATACACTCTCTGTTTAACTTTATGCTTAGCTCGCGAGCTACAGTGTCACTGCAATCCGTCCTGCATTACTTGACACTTTTAGCTAAAGTGGTTACATGAGAGGGTCAATGAACGAATCCATTATAAAATCTACTTTAAAGCTCTTTAGCTTAACTTGGAAGTCTTGGGATTCATTTTAATTGGTTTCAAACCATGGCGCCGTGTATTTCGAAATAAATAAAAAATATTTTTATTTCGCTACCATAAAATTAAAAGGGACTAGATGCAAGAGACAGAATGGCCTAATCCTGAATGACACAAAAACACTGTACAACTGGGAGGAGATCGTAAATGAAAATATAAAGACAGAATGTCAGTAAAACCACAGTGACGGGTGTTTGCCCACAAAATAAAGACAAATTAATTCGATTCCAACGTTAATAATTGATTTTTTATCGTTAGGATCTAGTCGCATTTCATCACAGTTTGCGAGTCGTCTGTCACAAAATTTAAAAATTAAATACTTAGCCAATTCAGCTGAGTTTTTCGTCATATTAACTGGTAAAGTAGCCTACACTACCCCTTGAATAGAATAGCCCTTTATAACTCCGTATTTGAAACCCTCATAAAAATAATCTCTAAATCTTCAATCTACGACAGTTTTCTAGCCCATCACACATTGGGGTAATGCACTTACTTACCCTTAAACAAATTCAATGTTACCCCTCGAGTAAATAAAGGGGTAACTTGATTCGCAATTGATTATAGCATTATGCAAATTACCAGGTTTGAACCCCAGCCCGCGAATTGACTAATGACCTTGGGTTTGTCAAAAATCAACAACAAATTGAATTTTTACATTGAATTTACATAATAATTGTGGGATTGTGGACAGGGGTGGGTTAGTGGCGGCTGATGTATTAGCGAGTTAAAAATTGTCATGTGGTTTTGAGATTTAAGTCGAGAGCAACTTCCAACCAGATATATTCCACAATGATAAGACTTTTTTAACCGACTTCCAAAAAGGAGAAAGTTTCTGAATTCGACCGTATAAGCTTTTTTAGTTTCATATGTGTCGTGGTGTTGTATGTCAAAATAACCTGAAAGCCGCCTTTTCATGCATTATTCCGATGTGACTTTTATAAGTTAATAAAACACTGCGGGCATTCGGTCAAGGAAAAATAAGTTTAAAATCGCCAATCCCCCTCGAGCAAAACGTGGTAGTTACTACACAAACCTTCTCCGTGTGAGAAACTCCATTTCAGTCAGTTAATAATGAAAACGTGGTAGGAGATAAAGTTATCTCCACATGTCGGTCGCAACTATTTGGAGGTTTTTTGTTATTAGACAATTTTTTTAAATGTTTCCCTACATTAAGATTATCTCCTGTATCGTGGGTGCGTTTACAAACATACAATTTCTCAAACACATTACACCCAGACCCGGAACAACAATTTGTAGATTAGGCACAAAAAGTGGGTCCGTACGGGAACCGAAACATGCAGTCTGTGCATACTCACAGCGACTTTGTAAGACTGAGAATTATCTCTCGCTTCGTCAACAACTTGACAATTTATAATCAAATGTTAAGATATAATAAATTGTATAAAACATAGATAATTATGTACTTTTGTATTTATTGACTGATCTGTTGTGACAGGGCTGACTCGGTGACGTGGAATCCGCACAAGCTGATGGGCACCCTGCTGCAGTGCTCCACCGTGCACTTCAAGTATGAGGTTGGTGCAATATTCGTAAACAAACCATTAGCATACTTAAATTGTGAGAAAGCCAAGCTTCAACTCCTTGGGCCCGACTTGATTAACACCACGGTTTCAAAGAAAACTGACGTGAAACAGCAGTGTTTCGTAAAAACCAGTAGGTCAATCCACCAATACGGTAGTTTCCAACTATAGTATAGTCAAATTCAATACTTTTATCCAAATGTCAAAAACTGTACTTTTCTATGAAATTAGTATGAAAAACTGAATTATGACGTCATAGTATTTTTGCGTCAAATAGCTTACTTATTTTTTAATAATTAGCTACAAAATATCTATAATTTAGTGTATCGATCGATTGATGAATATAAGTACCTATAGTTTAGTGCATCGATCGATCTATGAATAAAAGTACCTACAGTTTTATTCAATATTTTATTGTATTGAAACATCGAATTTATTTTTGACGTAGAAAACTACCCAATTCCAATCAGATACCCCCTGGTATTATGAGTATTTTTTGTGGAGGGAAAATTATGTAATTTCTCGTGTCGTTTAGAGTATGGCGAGAGGGAGGGTCAGACACTTACCGACTACAAACCTTCCGTTCCTTCTCCTGTTGTAGTTCAAGGCCTGGTACCTTATTGCGCTTGACCGCAACCCTGGCTAAACATCAGCCCTGTTGGACCTCATCTGTGGTGGTCAATTGGCTCTTTGAGGCTCGCGATGATCGCTACGCGCTGTACAGTCAGGTCTGGTTCTAGTCGGGTGGACAGCTACCCTTGCTCGACGTCCGTAATGTCGCGAACTTACTGATATAGTTTGCGTTGTTTTTCGCCAAAGTTACCGATAGCCCAATCCTTCCACCACATCCTCAATGCGCCTTGGTATTACAGGGAGTTAAGAGAACTATCGAGTTTAGATAACTATATTTACTAGTCGGCAGTCAAAGGCTTAAGAAAAAAATTGGTCATTATTGGTGCTACTAATATTGCAACAGGACTGTTAGATTATATTTGCTATTAGTTTATTTAAGTTTTGTACTGTTTAGCTGGGATTATATTGAAAAAAACCTAAACGGGAATTCTCAATGATGCTCCTGGATTTTGTACATAATTTAATAAGTATAAAAATTACTCTCATATTTTTATGGATAAAACGTTGAACTAAATAAAATAACTTCCTGTATTTTAATCCCTCAAAATAACCAATAAATTGATATTATTAGGACAACAAATAATTGAATTCCTTTACAAATGCTCTTTCAAAACAGCCTCATCCTTATTCCCTTTACAAGAAAGTACATAATCCAAAAAACTAATAATTCTCGCTCAAATAAAAGCTACTCATTCCATTTCGTGGATTATTTACTAAGTGAGAGGGTTGGTATTCCTCTGTAGCTGTAATAAGGGTAGACCTAAATTGGCAACACATGTTTGCAAGTGTCGCAAAGAGGAATTTAATTAAATGTACCGCGTGCCTTGTGTAGTGATGTAGCTTATGTATATCGATAGTTCTTTTCTTTCATTAGTATATCGATAAATTAGTTGTATCGTGTCTAGTATAAATTACGAATGTATGTCAATAATGCGTGTTTATTGTAATAACGTAAGTTTTTTATTTTAAAAGCATTATCTAGCACGCTACAGCTATTTACTACTTAACGTCAAAGTAGAGATTACTTTAACTTAAGCTGTGAAACCAGTTTCAAACTTAAGGCCTATTTGTAGTTCCTTATTAATATTGTCTTATTAAATGCATATTGCACTCAATGACACAAAATAAATGAAAAAAGTAAGAAACACAAATCTCTGAATAACAAATATTCTGTTAAAAAAAGAGTACCTAAAGATGGAGTTTCTTGCTCGTTCTTCTCCATTTGAATCTACAATTTGGAACGAGCGCCTAGCTACACTGACGAACTGACTGACAGATTATAATTCTATTTTGACGTTTCAAAAGTATCTATATATGGCTTAGTTGGAATAAATTATTTTGACTTTGACTGTGAGTTTATACCACGGCTTTATACCATTAGGGAATCTATAGACTATGAGATGATGAGCTATACTATTGCTGTATAGCTGCATACTATTACTGTATTGCTAATGGTCTTGAAATCAAACAATTTACGTAAGTACTGTGCCTAGTATTGAATCTTTCAGATTCATAATAGTAAAAAATACAGTTCTGAATACGATAAAAAATTAAAGTAAACATAATTGTGACTTTCCAACGATTTTTAAAGACACAGCATTTAATCATAATAATAGTAGACTGCGCGACATCGCCGCGTCCGCTAACGCTGCTCATGAGGAAGAACCCCTCTGTGGTTCGAAACTAGTAGAGCTTTTCTCAATTTACACACGTGAGTAACCCGCGATTTTTAGTTAATTCAGAGGTTATTTTCAATAAATGACTTGTCGTCAAAGAACACTGGCTATCGATATCGACACCACCCCTTCCCTACAGTGACAACATGGAGTGTGGGCGGGGTCCACTGGAATTTATCATGAAGCATATTGTGCTGACATGCCTCCATAACTTACAGATTAAATGGCCACAATTTGCAAAGCAATAAGGTTTATAATCGCTTAGCAAATCATTGTGCAGTCACTTATTAGCTTTTCTGCAATTTATTGTTTATTCTGTTTATTGAGAAGACAGCGTTTGCTTTCGGATTTCTGGCGTTTTTGTGGCGCGTTAATATCTTTTTGAGTTATCGTTAGTTATTTCATAATAAAATTATCGCGCGGGATCTATCTAATCCGATCAATAATACTTCTTTAAAAACAATTATAAGAATCTTCTCCTAACGATTACTAAATGTAACAAAAAAGATTCGACTAAATTGTTCCAGCTGTAGTTAAGTTATGCGCTCACCAATACATTTTACGATTAATTTTTATAATCGGATGTTATTATAATGTAAACCTTCCTCTTCAACCACTCTATCTATTGAAAAACTGCATCAAAATCCGTTGCGTAGGTTTAAAGATTTAGGCATACATAGGGATATAGGGACAGAGAAAACGACTTTGTTTTATACTATGTAGAGATCCAGTAGGTACTCAACTTGTAAGTACATTACATTTTGTTGACACGTAATTAAAGATACTTTTTCTGTAGTCTATTTTGTGAATACTTGATTAAGAAGAAAATATAAGTCGATTATTTAACACCTGATAGATTTTCTATTGTTTCATTATCTAATTAAAAATATATAACTTAAGTTTATCAGTGAAAACCCGTTATTTTATGTTTATTATTACTACTACCTTACTTTAACTAGTACCTATCTATCCTCACTCACTCAAGTGGGGGATGAGCAGGGGTGTGTCGTGTTTAGCATATAAATACTCAGCAAACAGCTGGCCGCGACAGATAGTGAATCTACATAATAATGCATAGTCTGTGAACACTCCACCGTCGCTGTACAAACACAGATTCTGAACTTTAAATCTGTTTGTTTGTGTGGAGTTGTGAATATATGTATAATAATAATTATAATGGTAGATAAATAGGTTTGAATTAGACTAAGCTAATAGATAACTGAAAGTAGACGAAATGAAATCTACACGAATTTTTTATTATGTGATAGGTCGGCAAACGAGCAGACGGATTACCTGATGGTAAGCAATCGTAGCACCAGATGACTCCGAAGATTTAGGAATTGGGGAAGAATGATGGAGGGGAAGGATTGGGCCTCCGGTAACTTCACTTAGACGGCGAAACACAACGCTGTGGTAGTTTCATGCCGGTTTTCTGTGAAGCCCACGTGGTATCACTCCGGTCGAGCCGACCCATTCGTGCCGAAGCATGGCTCTCCCACATTTAAATGTCATATATAATGGGAATAGTTCATTAGGCTTAGGCCTTTGCTCAGCAGTAAGCACTTATAGGCTGCTGATACTAGCGTATATTCGTTTCTATCTTTCATCTAACAATGCACGTGTTCCAGGGTATCCTGCTCAACTGCAATGCCATGTCTGCGGAGTATCTGTTCATGACGGACAAGATCTACGACCCCAAGTACGACACAGGCGACAAGGTCATCCAGTGCGGACGACATAATGATATCTTTAAGCTGTGGCTGCAGTGGCGTGGAAAGGTAGGTACATCTGAAAATTATCATGACGTTTTTTCTTTTAATTTAATTTTCGTTTTTGTCTGTGTAGCTAGGTGTCCACTATTGGGCACATAACTAGTAGTACAGTCAAGTTCAATATTTATTTAGATTGGTTGAAATTGATCGGTTTTCAATGAATTTTGTAGGTGGCGTCATGTTTTTTATATGCGTCAAGTAGCATATAAGTAATTTTCTTAAAGCAAATTACCTAGCAATATATGAATATTGAGTAATTGCTTATATTCTGAAATCAATGAATGATGGTGTGACTAGTTTTTTTTTATATTTAATTGCCTTAAAAAGATGATTTCAGTATTATGTGTTCATTGTATATTATTGTATTTTTTTATTAATAATGGACTGGCTTTTAGTCACTATTTGGTCTTTTAGTAAGCGATGATATGAGTGACCTACAATTATGGTTGCTAATCCCTACTATACATATTTATATCTAGTTTTTACACCCAACTAACCTTTGACAACCTTCCCCCTCAGGGTACCTCGGGCTTCGAGCGCCACATGGACCGGCTGATGGAGCTGGCCGAGTACCAGGTGCGCCGCATCAAGGAACAGCCTGACAAGTTCCACCTCATCCTTGAACCTGAGATGGTGAACGTGTCCTTCTGGTATCTGCCCAAACAGCTGCGCGGCCTGCCGCATGATTCCCACAAAGAGATTAAGCTCGGCAAGGTAATTATTAGATATATAAGAATTATTGATATTTTGCCAACGTGAAATTCTAAATGCGTCACAAGCACCCGTATTACTGAAAGTACCAGCCAATAAAGTGTGACCACGAAACCGATCAAAAACAAGTACTTACGAATCTCGAGCCAAAAATAACGATTTTCATTCTAAAACACAGCACAGTAACGGGCTTATAATTTTTCTAAATTACGGTTTCCTTTATAACTCTTTCGAGGCAAACAGAGTGACGTTAAAACTATTTTTGTTTCAACACTAAACATCAGATGTAAAATTCAATTTCTTGTAAATTTACGTCGTACACTTTAACGCCATCTAGTATCTGACATCGTCAACTTTTTCAGGTTTGCGCCAAGCTCAAGGGCAAAATGATGCAGGCTGGTACACTGATGGTTGGCTACCAACCTGACGACCGCCGTCCCAACTTCTTCCGCAGCATCATATCCTCAGCAGCCGTTACCGAGAAAGACGTCGATTTTATGCTCTCAGAAATGGATCGCCTCGGACAAGATATCATTGTCGACTAAAAGCTTTAACTGTTAACATTTTGGTCTCACGGCGGAGACTTTCCTTCATATTACGTCGTATGTTGGCACTGTTTCAATGTTGTTTTTCAATGAGAGATATTCAAAACTGAATTAAATATAGGCATGGTAACCAGTTTTGGATCTTATGAACGAAGGTAGGTATAGTGTGGAAAGTGGTCAACAGTTGTTGAAGTTTACATGTGAATTTCTTCTCTGTGTCTATTTATTAATCACACTGTCGTGTGATTTGTTTCTGAAATGTCTCGCCGCCGATACCAAATATTATATGAATAATTAATTATATGTTACGTACATGTATCGAATGATATAGTAATTTATTTATCTAGATGTTATCTGCTGTAAAAATGCATAGCTGTCTTAGGTGTGCACTGGAGACTGGACAGAAATTTTACTCATAACTCGACACGCTTCACTAACGCCATCTATTGAGGGATAGCTCAACAAATTTCATGTAATTTTACAACAATTGAATATTTTATTTGTCGAATCGAACGTTTTACTAGGCAATGGAATTGATTGGTTTTTGAATGCATTTTTATATCAACCGAGTGTGTCTTGTTCGTTCGAATAAGTAAATTTTAAATTCTTAGATAATTTTAGAAACGTATAGTATTACATTCGGGAATATTATTTGTTTAGTATCTCGGCAAATTTTGGTATGTCGTTGTAGAGTATTTTTAATAAAATCAACAACGATACATTATTTACTTTTAATGTAAAATAGGAAAATCGAAAATCCCGCTTTTTCTCTGACCAGTCCTCAAATTGATGTTTAATATCATTATTGGAAATTATATTTAGAACAATTCAGAACAAATAGTAATATTTCCTTGATGTTTACAACATTATATCGATGTAATTAAGAATTCACATGAAGTCTTCATATTCTCCTTATAGTGGTCCACTGTTTCCAAAAATATAAGTGTAAACTTGGAAAGATATTCGTCAAACCGTCTCTTCGTTATAATTATTAAAAATATATTTATTGAATATTGTTGATTCTCTTCCCACTGAGTATATATAAATATAATATTATATGTATACAATATTTTACGTTAATATGTTGACAATGAAAATAAATTTTCGATTAAAATATTGTTAGATAATAAGCTATAAATTATATATAGAAGATATATAAAATTAAAGCGGTATTAAGCTCAATATGTCGTGTTGGCCAAAAGATGTGTGTAGTTACTTGAGTTGACTGTTTATTGGTAGATAATGTTGTTGAAAATTATATAATTACTATTATATTGTAGTGTTTATCACGTGAGTATGTACGAAAGCTGTGTGGGGCGTATTTGGCGAATGATTGATCTCTGTTTGTATGGTTTTGAACGAATAATCTCTATTTATATATTTATTAATAATGTAAATGTAATTAAATAGAAATCGATCATTGACTTAATTAAAATATTAATAAACATCAGCTAAGTGAGTTGGTCGAGTACCCGCCATTTTATTATAAGATCGTCCAAACTGACAGAAGTCAAAGATCGATAGCTATACAAATTGGAATAAGAAACTGTTTTGTCGAGAGCTAGAGAATTATATTTTGCAAACGATGTATCTATTTAGATAATTTAAAAACGCGTAGCGTACGAAGTGAATGATACGTTTGTTTAGGATAAAATATCAAAAATTGTTATTTTATATCATTCACTCTGTATAAACAAGTATCTTAAGTATAAATATATATTTATTGATATCAAAATCACGTCATATACAAGACATATCTCCCGTTTTGCCAATTAAAAGAGTATTGTTAAATTTTATATGTTGTAAAGCGCAATGTAGTCTACAGCTTTTCGGTGCTTGTTGAATAATAAAATATTTTTCTTTACAGCCAAAGGCACGTCTCGGAGACATATAAATTAAATAAAAATACTTTAATAAAATTAGTAGCGCCATCTATTGCTGAACAACTAAACAAATAGTTTGAGTTTCTGTCAAAAGATGGTGCTACGTTAAATAATGGTAAGATGGATAATTTCATGTGTAACAACGCAATAAATTATGAATTTTAATTTTATCAGTGTTGTAGAACTGTGTCTCGATGTTTAGATGTAAGTTTAGAATAATTAGTAGTAATAGGAAACTGTTTTCCTCAGTGTTGATTTTTACGTGTAGGTTCTTTCTTCATGTAGCCTGTCTTATAATTATTTATTTATTTCGTTTCTGAAAAAGACGTCATGGACAGTGTCAAACATATATTGATAATAATTAAACAACAGCTTTACGACTTGCTCATTCTTAAATTAGTATTGGCTTATTTTTCAGAAACGAGATGTCAATTAAGTATCTCAATTCTCAAGGTTATATTAAAAAGCCTTCTGTACTTAATTCGTTTTATGACTACTTGCATTGTCAATATTATTGTTGATTTTATGTAATTATAAGATAAGAATGTACATATAAAAAAAATACGATGTGACGATGACAATAGAAAAAGTAGGATAATGTGTGTGGGGATAAAAATCTCATTTTGCGTGTGAGAACGCGTGAGTGGTGTGTGATGTGTTATAATAAGTTAGAAAATAGAATTCTGGAATTTGTTTCGTATTATTAGCATTCTAGCTATCAATAGCTGATTGTGGAAAAAAGTATTTAGTTCTAAATTAAAACGGCACTATCAGTCAAATTAAAAAATAAATAAGTGTAAATATGTAGCGCGAACTACAAGTTAATTAGCAATGTGCTTGATTTTTAAAAAGTCCGTCAAGTGATATTCTTGTTCTTTCTTCTATCCGATTACAGATGGCAGTGCGCTAGCGGTGTAGTTTACTTTCTATAACGATAGATGTCACTATGATAAAAAAATCTAAGTGCTTCCATTTTGTGTAGTTTGTAAGTAATTATAAAATAATGGAAATATATTTTCAATGTCAAAATACTAAGTATTGGTTATATTTTCAAAGTCTTCCATGATGTCTTCCAGTTATTGAATTTGCGTTAATTTATTTTGGTAATATAGAAATATGTATTGTATTAGATATATAACATTAGTGTTTCGAAAAGTTTAGCATTTAGAGGCAATATACTGTTCACTTTTTGATCACTTATAATGTGAGACAAGATTAGTAAAACTATCCTATTATTGTTGCTATATGTAAAAATCTGTATAACCAAATAAATGGTATTGTTGTTAGTTTGTTGTTGTTTTATTTTGTCACTGGTTGTTTATCAGAAAGAGACCATTAAAATATTATTCTTTCAGTCGATTTAATGAACTCACAAAATGAGATAACAGCCTGCAAAGACTTTACATGAGCAAAATTTAAGCAAAATAGTAGTGATTATGTTTATGGCACCATAGTATTTAGGACGATTTTTATGGAGGCAAAATCAAAATCACTGAATAACTTTTCCTTCCTAGGTAGAGAAGGAGTCTCAGACTGTTACTGAGTAAAAACCACGTCGGTGTCAGATGAACATTTCCTCCGCCTTCCTTTGCAAGCATCACTGTTTTGCAAAAATCGGAGACGGCTTCACCGCTCCTCTCGGTCCGCACCATGTCGATCCTGCCTAAGATGCCATTGCCAGGACATCTTGCGTTCGTTTCTTGCCGATGGATCCGAAACTTTCATGTCGATAAGCACCTGCGTCAGGTGTAAGGTAAGAACGCTTGAACGCAACGCCAACTTAGCTAGACTACCTAACTAACTTCTTACAAACTAACTTACCTAGTTAGGAGCCTAACATTAGAAATGCTCTTCTAAGTTGTACCGGCTGCCAAGGACGAAGACCGGGTACCTCATCGCCGAATCGACACTGATGGTAGCCCCTCCTGTCTAAGCTAGGACCTCTAAATCATGAGTTTTACCAAATTTAAAACGAACTATGATAATTAATAAATTGTACAAATAAAGTGTGTACCTCTTTTACTGGTACATTTTCTAAGAATTCTATCTATATTCTGTATATGTCCATCCATTTTATACACTTCTTATTATTTTACAAAAAACCTTGATTCTGAAATGGGCTGCGTAGTAAATAATATGAGATATTTAAATAAGGAGAGTTTTGTTTTTAAAGCATAAACGTTTTCGAGGAGCAAATATAAAAGGAGACGAGATATACAGACCTATGCACTTTCCAAACATCATTCAAGTGGGCGTTTTTTTTTTTTTGTGAGGGGAGAATCATCAAAATTACATGGCTTGTCCTGCACTCACGCAAGGATCGAGGTTTTGAAGTCCCTTCACTAGCGCATCGCCGTTAATGAGCTTCTTGGCACGCCTTTCAATGTGTCCTAGTGTGTCTAGCTGGTGTTTAGCCGAGCCGTCCCATAGATGAGAGCAGTACTCCATACAGGACCGAACTCGCGCTTCGTATAAGTTAAGCAGTTGTTCTTTTGGCGTGAAGTACGTCTCGACAAGATGCTCAACTATCCACCAGCTAGTTGTACCTTTTATTTATTTAATTTTATTTGGGGTTTTTGGTTTAAACTAACATATCAAACCCATTGTTCCTTATAACTATTAGGTAACACATAGTACTTATCCTATCATGTTTATAAATATTACGAGGGTCGGTGCTGGGTCTGCGGCACTAGCAAGTAAAACGCCTGTGCTATTTCTGATGAAGGCTCACTTAAAGCACTCTGTATACCTACGTTCAACTTTGCAATGCCATACTTTCTCAACAACGACTCCCGTTCCACTTTATTCCGGATAACAAATGTTGCACATCTCAATCTTTTCACAAGTCGGACAATTCGGTGTGTCAGCTTTTCTCTAGTTGTACCTTTGAATCATATGTAGGAGCCAAAGTTAAGTGTCGACGTCAGAGTTACGTCAAGAAGCTCAAGATGGTCAGTCACCGAAACGGACACATTCCGGAAAGTAGGAGCCAGCGAAGACTCCGTTTAGCGGAGAACAGACCCGCCTGGGTTTTGCTAGTGTTAAACTTAACCAAGTTAGCGTTACCCCAGTCGGAGACCACCTACAAGGATGAGTTCAAGCGTTCAACCATAGATTCTCTTAGAGACCAGATCTGTGTTCCGCTGGTCCACACATCGGACACATACTTTTCAACAACTGTGCTGTCTTCATATCCAAAGATAACGAGCCTAAGCATGTGCAGCAAAGAGAGCGTTGCTGACAGTACTGAATTGAACAGACGAGCAGCCATCGATGGCTACTCGAATTCATCCTATCCATCCTCCTGAATAGACTGACAAACTACATTTCTGGTTGCACGTTTGCCAGATTTCAGGCTTTCGGCACTTGTCCAGTCTCCAAGGAAAGGCGGGACAGGCGTGTTAGGGTCACTGATGTGAAAGTCAAGACATTGCGCTATCTGGACGAGACCCTATAACACGCCTGTGCTATGTAGGCTACGCTGAAAGCGAATTTCTGACATATTAATTTTGCATATGGCACGAAGAGAAGAAGGAGACACTACCAGCTTCTAAACGCGAAGACTCCGTAAGTAGTGTGTTGTCCTGTTAAACTGCCGATCTCTCCACGACTGGTCGCCCAATGTCACTACACCAGCACGCGTCGGATTGGTTAGCACGCAGTGGTACAACAGTTCCACCCATCCTCTCATACGGCATCACCGAGCATCGTGGCGGAATACGGTTAGAACGCTAGGGCGGTCTTATAGCCGACCTTAGTGCCAAGGCCGTCGCCTAAGCCTGATTCAAATCTGATTAGACGTTAATTTTCATTCAGTCTTGTGTTCAGACAGATATAATTATTAAATCTGGTTAATATGCATAGTACTTCCGCGACAATCCAGCGATTGTAATTTGCAATGTACGACGAGAATACGACGCGCCGCGTCTGCCTAAATGAGACTGATAAGACTGTCACGTAAACGCAAACTTATAATCCAAAAATTATTAGTACTTATTATTTTTTAGACCAAGTAAGAAAAATAATTAGATTTCAGAGTACGACCCTGTGACATCGTTCATCGTGATCGTGCACTAGTGACATCTAGTGTAAGATAGTAATTCAACTAAATTTCAAATCCACCGAACAGGGCAGTAGTTTCACTATTAACTGTTAGATGGCAAAAATGAGCATTTTCTACCTTTTTTAAGGAAAATCTTAAATTGACTTCTCATTCTCGCCTAGGGTACAGCGAGAGCGAGTGTCAGACTCTCACTGACTAAACCCTGTCCCCCACCCGTTCCTTCTCCTATTCCAGGTAGAGGACGCGTTTGCACTGTTGGGTCGACATTGGCACTGTTGGGTCCATGGGGTGGTCTCCCCCCCCCCCCCCTTCCAAATTCAAATTCTACAGTTACAACTCCTCTTGATTACTTGCTTCATGTGTGTAGCCCTCTAGGCTTCAGAAAGTAAGCGGTTCGTTGAACCGCTTTGATGATAAATTTCCCAGCAATATTCAAAAGTTAAGATTCCTGGTAGGGATAACTAAAACTTAATGTAATGTATTTTATACAATAAATGGCTACTCAGAAGAAATTCGAGGTTTTTTTGGAAGAAAATAATTATAATGGCTTCTCTAGCCCTCGGTGGGGCGAGAGGCTCAGACTCCTGCTGACTTCAGACCATCCTGTTCCTTTTCCTACTCTAGGCAGATGTAGCTATAAATTAGGTAATGCGCTTGACCTGCAACTCCGGCTGAAGACAGTGACGCTTAGGAATGAGCTGCTGTAACGTCTGCAAAGGTCTTGTGGGTGTGTTTGCAACACAGTTACATTTTTACACAATTTGAAATTACTAATTAATTGTAGTCACTAGAAGGACTGTGTGTACTGACAGTTTCGAGTTTCTCTACGACATAGCCTAATGTTATTTTGACCAGTTAGTCGCCAATTTAACAATACTAGTTGATATGGCTTCACTTAGACTAGTGTTCTTTCCTCGAATTAGGTAACTTGAAAGTTCTCCCATGAGTTCGTTCATACATACAGACCCCTTGTATTTTGTTTCAGGGTTTTTTATCCGACCAAATAAAGTAGGATAGGAAATCCCAAGCTTCTCTCAATTTAAGGGAGCCGTTTTTGTCTCAAAAGAGTGATTCTATGGCCTACTTCAAGAACAAATAAATTGTAACTATGTCAGATATTTCAAGGATATAAAAAAATACACAAAACATCGATTTTTAATAGTTTTATTGGAAACAAAATAATAATTATGCTATATATTGCACGTGACTTGCTAATATAGATCCACACTTTGAGCAAAACCCACTTTCTCTTACTTATGTACCCGAGTCGCAGTACACTTCAATTGTACAAACAAAAATTCTGACTTCCTGTATATTGTAGAAGCTTCGCGGAGAAATATAAACAGACGCTGAGCTGTTTACTTACGACTAGTAGGCAAATATTGTTATATTTACCACAAAGCTTCACTTATAACTTATTACAAGAAAATATTATCACAAGGGACTGCATAACCATCGAAAGCTACATTTCCTTAAAAATACCAAGACATATCTTTTCATTTAAAAATAGATTTGTTTGCCAAGAACGATTATACAAGTCCCTAACGTTTAGTATTTTAAAATTATCGTTTTATTAAACTGTATTTGTTTGCTAAAACAACTAAAATATCATTTTCTAGTAAAAAGTTATAAGTTGTTGTTTTGTTAGCATCTCTCGCGCTAGAGTTGAAACTAATTTGTTGATCACAATCATACTATTATCTTCATAAACAATATCATGACAAAATTTTAAATTCATTTGGTATAATTTCATCGATTTAATTAAACTGACATTCGTTTTGTAGTCAACAGTGCTTTTTGTGTCAAGATAAATAATACAATATAACAAGATGGTGTATAAGGATTCAATTTCAACTTTAGCGCCTTCCACACAAGAGATATAATCGAACGATTCAAGTGTTACTATAGTAATAATAAAAATAAAAGAAAATGCGCTCCACAGAATCACTTGGACGATATCTCTTGTCGTGTGTAGGTGGTGTCAGATGCTATACTTTGAAGTTGGGTTTTGAGAACAAAAAATAATTTCAAGCTGGCATGTCCGTATGCCACATTAAAGGCCCGATGGTCCCATTCTATCCGGGAACTAACAACTACCGCAGTGGGTACTCTCCTTGCGACCATGCTAGTGATTTTACAAACTCATTACATTTTTGTCCGAATAAAAATGTTTCCTGATAAAATAGTCAGTGTTATGAAAACATATTTAGATAATAGAGTCACTAGCACGGCCGGTCACTCGCCCCGTCGCTACGACAATCAATAACATGATTTAATCAACAAAAAATGCAATATAATCAAAAAAGGCTCAATATATAAACTAGTACAAAAAGATCTCTTCGCGCCCACAGCTGGGCATATTGTTTGGGGCAAGGAGACCAGCATTGCCCAATATTTTTACATTATATTTCTTTAAAAAACATTCTAATGGATATGCTTTATTTCAAAGTTACTGTAGGCAAGAATCGTTTGGGCAAATGTGGTCAGATCGCCCTAAAACAATACAATATCATAGTTGCCTATGAATTAAAATAACGCATCTATTGAAATGTTTGTAATTACTCGCAGATCTTATTAGAACGAGAATGAGCAGTAACAGACACGCTCGTTTTTAATATATGAATCGGACAACTAGTCGCTCAACTATCTTGTCTACAAGAGACACTAGAACAAACAAGATTAGGGTCGATTTAGTCGCCGATAAGTTGCAAAACAAGTTGAGATACCCTCCATACAACTTAACACTTTATAATTACAATTTGAAGTCATTTTTAGCATAATACTTGGTGTTTTTTTCTCAGTTCATTTACTGCTGCATACATTCGTATTAATAAAATAGCGAATAATTAAAAACATTTCCAAAGAAAACATTACAATAAACGCATAAAAATGCTTAAAATTCATTATTTGAACTTCATAACATTATTTTCGAGAAAATAATCATTGAATTCGGTTATTTTAGTGCTTAGTAACACTGTCAGCTTATATTTCGGAAAATATTTTTTTTTGGAGTAACTTTTATTACGTGTTGGAGTTTTGTGTTATAATTAATGTTTAAAGTACAGTTCAGACAAAACTACGCATGTTTTTGGATACATTGCCACACTTTCTGAGATAATTCTGTTTTAGCATATGTTTTGTTAGTAACTGTACTTCCTAAAGTAATCTTAAAAAAAAGATTAAATTTGAAAATAAGTATAGAATTACTGTATCACATAAGATAAGAATAAAACTCATTGTAGATTTTATATCTCTAGTTTCAAGATTCAATTTTCAATGAAACTATGACTAAGATAAGTTTTATATGAATGTTGAAGAAAATTTTCAACATATAACTTGACTGTTTTTGTTACACAGTAGAGTTATAACAGAGAGATTCCTACACGGTTGAAATTTTAATTTAAAAACAGATTGTACTAATTGAAGAGGCACACTGCTGCACACAGTACAATTGTTTTTGGTTAGCGACACTGTAGCTTATAATTTGGACAGGGGATTTAGAATATCATCAATTAATCGTCAAGGATGTTACAAGTACTTTTTTATTTTAAAATTTGTTGTTATACATTCAATGCCAAAAAGCTTTGAGGACAAATCCTTCGCTAGTGAGGTCCTTATTAGCCCAAATAGCATTCAACATGTAAAGAGAATTAATTCGGCACTTGCTACCCCTACCCCGCTAAGGGTGTGTATGCAGTAGAATTTTACCGAGCGGGGTAAGCAGCTGGGTATTAATGTGTTTTGTATACGTAACGTAACGTCAGTATGCATCATCTTCTGGTTATTAACGTGCCAATTAGTGAAAGTAGTTATAATGCAGACTCCATTCAGTTCACCGGTGGCATCAACATCGAACAGTCGTTAGGGAAAGAACTTGTCAGTGCATTTCCTGAACGTATCACCAGTAACAACGAGCGCCAACGAGATAACGGATCAACAACAACAGCAGCACAAGGAGTTGAGGGAATTTCTGCAAATAAAGACATCTTAGCAAACGCAACTGCAAGCGACTATAGATTTAATCGAAACCGAACAATGCAATGGTTTCGGTCCGGACGCTCAAGCAATAGTGGAGGACATGGAGATGCAAGCAGAACAACGAGCTACGAAGAAAGCTGCCCCGAAACGTCGTCGTTCAGCATCAGGCAACAACAAGAAGAATTCTCCACAGAAGAAGATTCCGAAGACTCTGCCGGATCCCTCGATAGAAAGTTTCTTAGATGTTTTGGACTTGATATGGACGGCGAACATTTATAGCTATATATAAATTTGTCGAGAAATGAGCAATGAAGGACATACTGAAACGGAATCACCAATCTGATATCGTTGTGGAAGACAGTGTTGAAATTGATCGTCCACAAAATGAGAGTGAAAGAGTGCGAAGATTTATCATGGAATGCCTTCAAAACAATCCTTTGCGATTCCGAGTTGTACATGACGTGTTTACAATTCAAAATGTCCACTACAGGAATAGTAATATTTCACGAATATGCGAACAAGGAGGAAGTTCCGGTCGTAGCTTCAAAGGGAGTATCTTCTTGGTTACAATCCACGGAAACGATAACTTGCATGTCGTCCACGACTGCGCCTACAACGGAAACTCCTGGAGATCCAGTGAATGCGGACAACCCAGACTTAATAAAAGACTTCTTCGGTCTTCAGAATGCACCAGTGAGCACTGGCTCAATCTCGCAGTGTATTTCGAGACAGGCCAACGGGAAGCAATACACTTTGAAATCGCCGGGAGGATGTGGACTAAATGTGGTCAAATTCGAAATATATCCATTTGCCAAAATCAGCGGCTTAGACAAGAAAAATTGGTGGAAGCACGCGGAAACCAAAATGCAGTTTAAAGTCAGATTTTAAGTCTATTGAATCAATAACAGTTTTTATAAGCCTATAGTTTTATGCCACGATGATTTCGGTAATTTATTTTAAATGCACTGTCTACCTATAAGCTACAATGTCCCTTCCACGATATAAATAATAATAAATTGAGATTCTCCATCCGTCTACAAAGAACCAAGCTTACAAACCAAAGTCTTATTTGGAAATATACACCTAACGGTTTAATTATATTCACACATGGCAACACTAAACAACATGTGCCAACACAATATTTGGCATTGTATAGTAAAAATATTTTTAAAGAATATCCCATTTTGTATTTTCAAAAATACTGTTTCTTTTCTTTTAGTTGGCAACACTTGTTTAGCGTTGCTATGTGGGAAAATGGCAGTCGAACGAATAAACGAGTTTGGATTTTATAACTACCATATTATCATGCTGAAATATACATATTATATCATTGCGACGCGTTCATGGGGTCGTAGGCAGGGAACTAACATTATTACTTATTTTGGAAAGAAGAATATACTTCTAAACTGTCTGTTCAACTGTAATCGCACACAAAATGGACATTCTCAAACACATTTCCCTTAAAATTCTACTATAATAATAATAATATTTTAGTAACTTCTGATAAACTCCGCCCCCACCCCGCCCCTTACAAACGTAACAAACAGAAATATGTCCGTCTCGCTCACTCATTCTCACTCGCGTCACGCACAACCGCTTTGTTTATATTTTTTATTTATTTATTTATTTATAATAACTAATCGCGGCGGCGGCCCCTCTTATAAATTGTGCGTCATCCCAACTTTATTATTTAAAAACCTTATGATTGTGAGCATAAGGTTATAAATTTATTGAAAAATAATTAGAAAACTACCAATGAGATATGCATACAAGTGTTTTTTGCCTAGTTTTTTAACATTGTTCAAAACTAGATTAATATTTTGACTTTGATTTTGACTTATAAGAGAATATCGTTACTTGGGAGAGGTTTTACGACGTTTTCCTGATAGATTCCTGCTTACCCCCGAGCCGCCGCCGTGTCTAAACTAGTCTTACTCGTGTGTCGGCGCTGACGACATTAATACTATACTTTGCGACAGCCGACGGCTGTTACATAAACACTCGACAACTTCACCACTCACTTTGCCATTTCAAGTTATTTTTATCTTCAATTTTATTCCTACAGCTGCGACTAGCCGCCGATAGGCAATACTATAGTTTAAAAGTGATAATCTCTTGGGGATTATTAATCCCCAAGCTCATTGACAAGTTTGGTGATTATGGTTTTCACTTTCCTAGAACTATACAAGATATTTTGACAATGATGATGATGTAATTTCGAGACATTTGTTAACTTTTTTTTGAGATCTTTTTATAAAGAGGCTTATTCAAATTATATGAGTCTAAAACTAAATTAGAGAGCATTCGAACATGATGTTCACTTTTAAGGAAATTTATACTTTATTTCTAAGACTATAAGAATCAATTTTGTATACAAAGATCTCGTTTTATTCGATTTCAAGTCTTATTCGATGGTTACAAGGTTTGATTCAGAGTGGTGGCAAAGTTGACGTGTGTAAACGTCATCACAGTCAATATTTAGGCTATGCACCGACGAAGTGACACGCCCTTAGTTATAATATTGTATTATATATAAACAAACATATATACTATTATTTTTATATATATATAGTAAAACATTTCTCGAACAAAATGTCTTAGGAAGCGATTCTATATTCGATATTCTCTGATTTAAAGAGCTGTTGAGAAGAACGAAGGTTTTAGTAAAACCGTAAGATTATGACGATCTTTGCAAGAAATTTTAGATAATTTTCTCTGTGAATATCATTTTATATGTTCCCATAAGACATTTTTGTTCACATACATACATACATACAAATACACTTAACTAAAGTAACTATATAGAGAATTTTCGAAGATTTCTTTCATAGAGGCGCTGGCATCGCTTAAGATCCGTTTTCATTGAAACAATGATTAGTCTTAGAAGACTTAAAACTACACTAACGCCATCTAGCGACTACAAACTAAAAAAAGAACTTAAAAGGCGAGAAAATCGTGTCTATTGCCCGGTTCCTATAATTGAGAAACGATCCGTTTTAGTTACGGATAGTAGTTTTATTTACGATTCGTAAGCTAAAACCGTTCCTATAACAAACGTCTCGTCGTGCAACTTACTGACGGTTTGCAACTAATGGATGTCGGTAAGCGAATTGTATGGAGATCTATGATGTCTGTGGTGTTCCTATAAATATTTTAACCGTCAGTAGACGGTCAAGATAACTATTCGTAATGTCATTTGGTCGTAATGCGTATACAACGACGATTCGTTAAATATAGGAACCGGGCATATATCTACTTGTAATATGTGTATTTGTATATATATATATAAATAAATGTATAGTTTTTTAAAAAATACATTTTTTTATGAAAAATTAAAACAAAAGTATACTATTACATACAAATAGTTCCTTCCCATAGATATTTTTTAATCACAGATTTTTGTGAGGCGACTGTTTGTTAATTAATTATAATAAATATCATATTACAACCTATAACGTATCTAGAAATAGATTTATAAACTATATTCGAACAACAATACTTGTGATACAATGAACATTATTATCATGACTATAAAGTTTATTTTCGTTTCAAACAATTATTATTTAAAATCCTATAATTCATTGACAAGTTCTAAAACCACTGATAAAAATGGCGGCCCTAAGTATAGGATTAACATTCACGATCAAAACTGTATCGAAAGCTTATGTTAAATCCAAGAAAACATATCTGGCAATTCTGTTATCTTTAAGGGCTGATTTTTCAATGGTTAGATAAAAGTTACCTGGGGAATAATTATGATGTTGTCGCGTTACAATGTTTGTATAAGACAGTGACAGCAACAATTTTATTCCACAGATAACATTTATCTGACTACTGAAAAATGTAACAGTTTTCAGAATTTATCATGAAATTATAATTAGAAAACATCTTTTATTAAGATCTAGATAAAAAACTTCTAATCAGTGATTTTAAACAAGTGAATGAAAGAAGGAGAATGAGTAACCAGTCGCCTCACTGAGTGAGTTGGTGAGTGAGTGAGGTAGTGTTCACTCACTGAGGTAAGGCATTTAGTATTGCGGGCGTGCGATCTCCAACGTCGGGCTAGCTACCGCGGCCTTATCTAGCGCCACCTGTAAAGTGTATAGGAAAATTATTAATGTTTACAATCCTACTTCCTACTAATATTATAGAAAGTATATGAAATGTATAGATGAATGTTTGTTATTCATTCATACAAAAACGGAAGGTCCGATTTAGTTTAAATTTGGTGTGTAGAAAGGTGATATCCTGTAATAACGTACAGGCTTTTTATCAAAATACCACACAGGCGAAGTCGCGGGAGGAAGCTCATAAAATTATTATTTACTGTCAGGAATTTCGCCCGCGTTAACGGGACAAAATATAACGTATTTTTATCCTATATCATAATCCCTCTCTAAGCCAATTTTTTATATGTGACATTCAATCATTTTATACATGTGTTGTACTTTGTTTTACATTTTAACATACTTATATATATTTTATAAGTCTACCTTTCTACAACCAGTAAACATGTTATTTCCTTATAATAATAGTATTTACGTGAAAGAGTAACAAATATCCATCCGTACTTATAAACTTTCGCGATTGGAATATAAAGAAGGGTTTTCTTATATATAGAAAGGGCAAATTTTAAGGTCAGATATACATGAACAAGGTTCTTAAAAGGTAAATAATAATATTCATCCAACCGGCCGATTTTTGTTGGCCTATGTGGATGTCTGATGGCTGGTATGATGACGACAATTTCAATGCATTTAGCGCCAACGAAATGACGCACTTGGGTTCGATTTCCGACTGTAGAGTAAGGGTTGTAGAATTCGATTACTAAGTCTAGCAAAGTATTATACAACTAGATTCAAGATTTATTTATTTTTTAACTACTCCTAATATTGTTATATTAAATTCTTCTTCAGTTAAACTCCATCGAAAGGTTGCCTAGAAGAAATTGCTTTTTAGCGATAGGACCGCCAATTGTACTGTTGTTTTTTTTTTCTTTTTATTGTTATTATAATGGACAATAAAGGCTATTCTATCTTATATATTCTTTAAGTGTTGGAAAGACCTATCAGCACGAATAGGCTGGCTCAACCAAAGTGTTACGACTTCAAAGAAAACCGGCGTGAAACAACCCTTTCGTTGTCATTCGCCATGTGAGTGAGATAACTCTAGCCTTAGATCTTCATCTCCAATGCTAAAGACGCTTCAATCCTATAATGCTAACCCCCAAAAGGCTGGCAACGCACTTGCCATTCTTATGGTGTTGCTATCTCTATCAGTTAAATTGATCGCTGCAGTATGCCATAAAAATTTAATTATGCCTACCATAGCATCTCCATTTTCTATGGTTCTATGTTATAATACAACTGACGAAAACTTGCTTCGATTTACAAAAATATAACTTCATTTGGAATATCAACTCAGTTTTATACATATATGTATCGCATGTAAACCTAATATAATAATTTAGCGGTCTACCGTTTGATAATGTCTTACCAACCAATTTTTCTACAAAAGTGACATATTTTGAGTAATAAGGTATATGTAACTCACAGCACTTGGTGGGGCTGTATGGCGGCCAGGTGGGCGGGGGACGGCGGCACGCCGGGCGGCGCGGGCGGCAGCAACGTCTGCGCCAGGCCCTCGAACCTACCGCCCGCCTCAAACCCATTCTGTTGGCGAACACATTAATACCATGTAACTGCCAGTATTTAGTACCAGTAAGGCAGGGAAAATGTTGATTAATTGTCTTTTACACATAAATGTAACCGTTTGTTACTGTAATGTACACTTCCACAGAGATTAAATATTAGTCCGTAATAGATTAGGCACTGATATCGGCTCGCAGCGAGCGTCCACGTCTTCTCCCCACGGCGGTCGGTTCGCACTACCCCGTAGTATTCACCCCCGCCCCGTGACTACGCGTGTGCGCTGTTCGAGACGACAGAGTTACCTACTACTAGAAATGTCTATACACTACAGTTACTATAATTAAATATGAAAAAACCAACCAACAATTGAAAAAAAAAAAACAGGACAAAACATAGGACCCAAGATCACTCCCTGTGGTACACCACATAGGCGATATAATCGAAAATATTCGCATTGTACCCAATAATGATCCCTGTGGCATACCTATAACAATGTCTATACACATAAAGGCAATAAAATAAAGCATTTATTTCTTGCTTCAATGGAAACAAATTTTACGGAAATACAAATAAAAGTTTATTTTACATAGAATTATTGTAAGGCTAATTTTGTGGGTAGTTGAAACAAAGGAATGGAGACAGGGTGTTTTCTTTTCATTTCCTGTTTTTGTTTTTGTAAGAGCTAAGTATAACTGTGCCTTTTTTATAAATAAATCAATCAATAAGGGTCTTTACAATTTTTATAGTGGTACATCATCATGACTGTGAGTGTCAGACTCCTACTAACTCATAAAGTTTAACATACCATCAATGTCAATCTCTTTTGTGCCTTTAAGGCTTAAGTCATTCTGTCTCCTGCATAATATTAACCAAGAGCAGTGGAAACTATTTTTGTTTTTTCTTCTCCTTAAATAATATCTTCTGACTTATTTGGTTGCAGGATCCAATACAGTCATTCATGTCCCTGGAACGCGCCGGACTGTCGTTCCGGTGTTTTCATGGTTGTATCCACTGTACATTCTGGTGCACAGGAGTCGCAGCGGTTTCGGGAGGAGGTCAATACTGTGTCAAGTAAAACTTACGGGGATCATGATGGTGGGCCGCAGTGGTTGTATGGAGGGCTGCACGGCGGTGGGGTAGTACGGGTAGTACTGCACGGGGTAGCCGATGTAGCCGGGGTAGCCGGCCGCCGCCGCGTACATAGCCGCTGCTGGGCTGTACATCTGTCATAAACAAATAAAACATTGCTCATTAGCCATAGTAATATTATAAAACTGGTTTGTTTGAGCGCGGTATTCCCGGAGCTCTTGGTTCCAATTGAACAATTGTTCTTATCTTGTATAGTTCATTTATCGAGAACGGCTGTAGACTAAAACCATCCAGGAGTACGATAAATACTTTAGAAAAAATCCATAGGACATTATTTTTTCATAGCCACCAACACTAACACGCCCATTCTCCCTTTTAATCCTTCGTTACAATGCAGATCCAACAAAAATAATACCAAAGCAAAGCTTTACAGAGAACCGGAATTTAAAAACGTTTGCGTCAACTTTGCAATCCCCACAAACGGTCAGCAATGTACTTGTAACTTTTCTATGGCGTTGCGAATATCCATGGGCATTGCCGATTTCATACCATTGGTCATCCGTCTGCTCGATACCCACTTTCGTTGCTCAAGCCAATTTATGACACAGGTATAAATAAAGTACTTAGATGTCAAAGATGGCTATGTAATGGCAATAGGCATGCATCTAGTTCTTTAGTCCATTAAAGCCTATGTAGGTACATACCGGCAGTTGCTGGCTGAGCGCAGGTATGGCCTGGTGGTGCTGCAGCTGTTCATACGGAGGCGGGGCATACACTCCGCCCGCGCCCGCTCCGGCGCCGCCAAACGTCACGCCGTACGGGGATCCACCAGCCACTGGGCAGAAATGTAACATGATAAAAAAAATAACAAAAAATCTTTTTTGGAGAAATGTTGTCGCTTTAAAGTGGATATCCCAACCACATGCACGACGCTGTTCGTCTCCAGTTTTGTTACTATCAGAACCGCTAAGGACTAAAATTCTTTACCGGAGTGTATGTTCCCCGGACGGTGAAGGGTAGGACTTGGGTGTCAAGGCCCCAATGAATAGATTGCTTATGGGTAGGCGTGTTCCATTGTAGGTCGCATCATCGCTTACCACCAGGCGTGACAGGGGCCAAAAGCCTGCCCATTACTTAAAAAAATGGTGTTTGGGACTCCTTAATCCAGTAGTTTTTTAGGCAACTAGAATCTTTTTTTTTTAATAGGTCAGCAAACTAGCAGACGGATTACCTGATGGTAAGCAATCAGCGCCGCCCATTGACACTCGCAACGGAGGAGTTACGAGTGCGTTGCCGACTTTTTAGGGATTAGGGATTTGGAGATTTAGGGAATAAGGAGGGATTGGGGGAGGGGAAGGATTGGGCCACTTGATCTTACTAGGAATACGACATGCTCCTTGCAGGCGTTGCAATGCATTTACTCAATTTAGGTGTACAATGAACTTATGCTGATGGTAGCCACCTGAGTAGTTCTGGCAGGGTTGGAATACCACACTATCAAACACACGACTTTCTCATCAAAAGAGATTGGAGCCTTTAATGTATCATCGGAAAACAAGAAAAAATAAGGCAACTAGTATATTCCGTAATTTTTATGTGAACAGTTGCTCTTAAAATATGAAGACTAAACTGTCACAGGAATGTTATTGGAAATAATTAACATCATTTAACGATGAGAAACGCCTACAGGTAGATTTGGAGAAGGGAACTGACCCGTAAGTTAACTCACACTTCTATAAGAAAAAAAAAAGCCACAACTATCAATAAACTCTATTGAAACCTGTAAAGGATATGTCTCTCTTCTAGGCGACAGTTTCTTACCTCCATATTGTGGCGCGGCCTGATGCGGTGGTGCCGGCAGGAAGGGGCCCTGAGGGGGCTGCGGTTGAGGGTACGCGCCCAGCGGCGGGGTCACTGCAACAACACACAGCTCTAACATTTGACCCCATTGGAGGGCCGCGACACACACACTGACTACACACACCACTACCAAACGTGGACACAAGTCCCACTCATTTTAAAACAATATGGGTAGTTTAATATACAAAAACTATTAAAAAATATTTTTGGTCAAAACTATCATTTTCAAACAAGAGCAAATTTTGTAACACTCTGTATTAAATTAAAATACCCATGTGAGAGAGTAGTGGTGCGTTAGTACGTCAGTGTGCGCGGCGCGATGTCGCGCGAGTGCGCGCCGCAACCCAAGCCCGAGCATTCACGCTGGACGCAGTGGTGCAGTCGTTTTAACAACACTAATACTATAGTCGTAACGTTCATTTTTTTATATCAATTTTGAAATTAATATTTTTTAAAGTATAATATATATAGTATAATGCGATGTCTCGTTTTTACATATCTACTGGGGAATGTAAAAATGAGACAAATATCAACTATAGTATGATTGTCAGCACAACTAGAGCGTGGGTGAAAAAGATTTGATTATCTGAAAAACTTGTCCTTAAATGATCAAATTGTATAAAATATCATAAGTTTATAGCAATTGTGTGTACAGTTTTCACCCACTCAATATTCACATACGTCAGTGTTAACGACAAGCGATGCCCATACAACGCGGTGCGTGAACGCGAGCTCTCAACACATGGAACACTAAAGTAGCAACCTGAGAGCCCCGCCACGGCAACACTTCGGCTCGACAAATGTAAATATCTTTTATGGCAAAAAAATATTTAAATTTCCCCTCCGAAGAACGGATACAGTCAATTTGGTAGGCCGTGTTACTGTTTCAGCACAGAGTGAGTGCTAAATGCCTACCAAATTAGTTATTTACAATGCATTCCTTATTTTTAATGGTCACCCTAGCTGCACTGACTATATGAAGCTACTGGTCTGCGCAAACTCCATAATTACCACAAATATCCACCATTTTCCCAAATGATGGACACTAAAAGTATTAAGTTATACTTTTTTAATGTGTAACTTGCATATAATCAGTGAAGGTTCATATCAAGCCTTGTGCAATAGAGCTAGTGTGACCATCCAAACGTATTCTCATTACGAAACTTCTTAAATAACAAAACAATCATCACACGATAAGGAACCTTTTAAAAAATACAATATTTATTTATAATATGACCTTGAACTCTTTAGTGCAGGGGTTTGGGCGGCCATCTTGGCCTGAGAAAGCTCTCACATTGTGTATAAATATTCCAATATAATTATATTGGTTTAAATGATAATTTGAGCAAGTTCAGAGTCATAGATATTGATCGACAAAACGATCAAACGTGTATACATGATGTGAACATTCCTTGAAATAAAAAAATATATTTATATTCTATTCATTTACTAACTATTCAACAAGTGTACCAAGATTTTTTGTTGATTTTCTCATTTCGTATACGATATTTTGCTGTTCAAAATCTAAAAAGCATTTTGATGCAGGAGAAGCGAAAAAAAAACCAGAAAGAGCTATGATAATAGTGCGTTGAAGGACAGAGAAACATGCAGAGTGACAACACAACGGAACACAAGTAAACCATGCATCAACACAACTACTGAAAAAACGTATGTCACTATAAATGCAACCTTAGACTAAGGACTAGCGCTAGAACACCAAACAAATAGAGAAGCATCGACAAACAAAACGCATCAACAACGCATGCTTATTACAATATAAAACAACGGAGCTGCTATCCAAACAGCAAAATTGTCATATAAGTTAATTGATGAAACGCAAACCACAAAAAACCTGGACACAACCGTCACCTAAACATTAATTACTAAATTATAGCCCATACTGAAATTTATGCAAGTATCCATACTCATATTTAATAAAATTAAAATTATTATGTTATCGTAGCAAACATTTCAATATGGCCAAACACAAAATACTGTCAAATATTTGTAAAAGCTTAATTAATTATAGAATTGCAACAAGCAGGGTGGTTTACTGCTGTATCTAAGGATAGAGCAACAAACCGCAGAACGCATGTTATGACTGCTGTGAATTAAAATTTAGATATAAATATCAACGTCCGGATCCCTGTAAAAGACTCAAAGAATAGAGAAGACCAAAATAAGTTGAGAAAAAGAATAATAAAAATAAAATCTGTAAAAATGTGGTTCCTATTTGATGGTGTTGGAACGTAAGGTCCGTGATTGTGTCTGGCCTGACCGCCAGCTAGTTGAGGCCCTCACAACTGGCATACTTCCCTGTCCTTCGGTTAAGCTTATGGTTGCATGCAGTGTTGCCTGTACCACCTGTGCCGTGGTAAAGGCAACATTCTACAAATACACATCACCACGAAACATAAAAAACTTATTATCAGACATAGAACTTGAAAAGAGAACTGCCGTCTATTTTTTTTATGACTTTTGGTTTACTCAAGTCATTTTTCGAGATTGCTCGATTAGTTTCAAGTCACGATAGGAGCTCATAATGAGCAGGTAATTTCTTAAAGTCAATTTTCATTGGTGATATGTATTTGCTGTCTTACATCTATTCACACACGCACTAACATTGTGTCATTCCTGTTAACATATTGACTTGTGTTGACCTAAAATCCTTTGTTTCAAACCGAACTATAAAAAAAAATACGAACAAGGATTAAACGTCACATCTTAGACTGTGTATCTAGAGATACGTCATCTAAAATGTTAGTAAACATTGTGTAAGATTAGACATACAACTAGAAAAATTGGCATTAACTTAGTTATTTTATTATAATTATTTTTTGACTGTCAGTGCCAATTTCACCTTCACCTTACATTAAAAATATGTCTACAAACATACATTTGTAAACATTTCAAATGCAAAATAGTACTTTGTTATTTACAATTTTCTAGATTTACTTTGAAAAACTCTTTTAAATGTGTACCATTTTGCACTATTTCGGGTTAGTTTTAACACACAACCTTACATTAAAAGACTCGACTTTTACTGTTTTTTTGTTTATACTAATCTATTTATTTTTTAACATGTTTCAAGTAAAAATCGTGTCTGTAAGTCAGTAACAAAATAGCTAGCTTTTTTGTGCCCTCTCGTTACTAGATTCCACGTTATTTTTTTAAGAATCTAGAACAAAAAATGAATTAAATGACGAATTTTCAAACTTATTCGCCAAAATAAATTGTTCGTCATTCATTTTCATTTCAAATCGACGCTAAAAAGTTAGCTTAGTCTAAATAAAGAAAAACGAAAATAAAACAAACACAAGACATCCCTATTTAGGTAGAATTTTCAAAAAACAATAGGGAAGCTTTGTAACAATTGAGTCAATGGACATGCTATAGTAAAATACGAGTATAACATGTGACATTGACCCATTGTTACTTTGGGTGCACAGAACCAGCCATAATCATTACTTTTTCCGATACTAATTTTTCTGTTAAAAAATAGAATTTCCAATTAATCCCAGCAATGATTACAACTTAAAACTGAGTGTTAAAAACAATAAAAAAATAAGCTGTGAACTAAATATTGAGAACGTAATCAAATTAAAATGTACCAGATAGCTAAGACACAGGTTTAAGAAAAGTAAAAAATAGAGTCCCATCGTAATATGATATCGTCATATCAATAAATATAGATATGTTTTATTAGACAGAACTCTCAGACTTAGAACAACTTATTTTTTTAAGACATGGTTAACTAGAAAACCGGACGAGTATCCATGTTTTTTTTTATTCACAAATCCAGGATGTTTCTCATAACACTATACAAATAGTATCAAGCCAAAGACATCTACTGTACAGCCAACCATTTAGCTTCAAGTCAATAACATCCGCAAGGATTTGTGAACTTCCACAAACACTTTACTATAATGTACTAATACAAAAACTTGTTTCAGCAAAAACTGTATTGTCTCAAACACAGATACTCGTCAGATCTGTATAGAAAAACATAATAGTGACTTGACTGCTATAATTTTCTTCAAGGTTGTCTTTTCTAGGATGTAACTGTATTGTATTGACAATCGTTAATTTCTATGATCTATCAAACTAGATAAATGTGGCGGATAACTCGTATTGTCTTAGCTTAGATGTATATTTATTATGTTGATTATTACGGCAGCCAAGCCCCAACGAATGGGTTACAATCGAATTAATAACACATACGATCGTCCACACGCCGATACGCACATATCATATATTTGTCTCTCTTTAACTATGTTTCCAAAAAAAAGAAAAATAAAGAAAGAAAAATTCTATATGATTTCATTACATGATAGCGATTAGTCGGCTGGCGCGCGACGACTGCGCCGACGGACGCGCGGCTCCTGTAGAGGGGGGGCAGCGGCTGGGAGCGGGAGGGGGCGTGGGTAACTTGTATTATCATCATGTCTTATGCCGCGCACGCTCAGCACTGGCTTACGCTTCTACCAGAGAGACCTCACCCATACCAGCCATTCTACCAACATCTAGTTAGGTACTCAGTACAACACCAGTGCCGCTGGAGATCAACTTGGAATAAGCATTCGTAAATAATAAGCTAATGCAGAGCAAAAACTTAGATATAAAGTCAGGTATGATCTCCAACTATACCAGAGCCAACAGTGGACCAACATGATAAGTCAACATTTCTTGCCATAAAATCGAAGTATGAGTGAGGTTTCTCCGCAACCAACATTTGACACCAATAGACATTGGCTCCAAGGAAATGTTTGTCAAATATAGTAGAGCCATCATTAGGCCCTTATTTTGTGACACATGTATTCTGCATATATCTGGTGTCTTTTAAGATTTTATTATTTGTATATTTGGAACGTAATGGAACTACAAAGCTTATTGTATGGAGTCAGACGCTTGTTCTGACACTTGTAACGCCACAAGGTTGCATACTAATATCCAATTATCTGTAATGTTTGGCCACATTATGTAACCAACATCTTAGTGTATGGCAGTGGTGTGCTATTTTCTATTGTTTTCTTAAGAATTGATGGACTTCATTATACTTGATAGACTTGAATAGATTTGTTATACAAACACACCAAAATATGGAATGATCTATTTCTTTATATAATAGATAGATACTCATTTTATTCATAAATCTACATTTTATTGAATGATAGCTAAGCAAGCTAATATAAAATGTTTATATAGTAGACATTGCAGTGGAACAATTTCAGTTATGGTGGCTAAATTTTATTTTATTATAGGTTGAATTATATTTTTAGAAATGGGTCAGTGCTCTTAAGGTACAGAGCTGAGTCCTCTTCTGCAAGAGCCATGTTGTTTGAATAATTAATTATGCAGATGAGTGTAATGTTTGAACTACCCTGGCACAGCTACTTGAGTTACTTGACCTACTTCTTGAAAGGTCAACAGGAGATAAAATATTTACTACCCAAATCAATCAAGGATTACAGGCTGTCTTGCTGACACAGTTATACATTTCCTGCAATGGAAGGTAGGGACTAAAGTTTAATTTCAAAACAGATGTTCATGATTTATTTGGCAAAATAGATCCCACCTCTGAGTATAATTGAAAGCACCCATTAAGAGGAGTAATTAGGGCTCATGAATCAGTTCTAGTAATGAATGGACCTAAAATTAGAACAAATAGATCCCGCCTCGCGAATTCTAAGGGTGGTCAACCATCTTGAATTTATCGCGAGTATCGATCTACCGCGCAACACTGTAATATCAATATTACAGATTAATCAACGCGAAATAACCCTCTTCCGACGCAGTAATCTGGCGTCGGGGGATTAAATCATTGTTTTACTAGCGAAAACTTGTATTTCAAGGCCCTACCGTGACGTTACTCATGTCAAAACGTATTAAAAGAAAAGAACAAAGAAAATAATAAATCAACAGTATAAATACCTTTTTTGTCAGCCATTTAAGTATTTACTATGTAAATATTGGTTAAAACTTTAATAAACTGTGTTACGTTGCGAGAAATACAGGAAATTCGCAATTAAACTTGGACGCAGTCGCAGCAAACGCTTCGCAACGATTCTCGCAACGACAACTAGTGAAGTGAAATGATGTCAAATTTGTACTGTCATTTTACTGTCAACCGATTAATGCATCAATTTTAGTCGATTATGACAATTTATTAATATTGTTTTATATGAAAATATATACAATGCAATTTGTTATATTACCTATGCTATTTTGTATGTATTGAGTGTTAAACTTGGTTGAAAAAAAATGGAATAACATTAGAAAACATTGAGAAATAGACACTATTATGTCACTTGGTTGACTTTATAAGTGGCTAATAACATTATTTTGGTTACAGCATTTTCAATGTACATTCCAAAAGTGTTATTCTGCCGTTCGAATAGTTTTGTGTGATACTTATTTCATCTAGAAATTGACAAACTATTTACAATACAATGGCAGCTACGTCTCTAATTGACCTCGTAAATCTTGTCGTAAATCGATCGATGTTGGCGTTAAGCGGTGGCTGTCTGTCTATACAATAGCTATACATTACAATTGCAGGATGACATGCGCGGAGTGCAGTGGGCGGCGTCGCTGCATACCTAGATACGTAGCATAGTGTAAACAATCAGAGATTACACAGCACTATTGTAGCTTCTAAATCTATATAATATGTTTAATGTTACATGTTCATGATTTGGTATTTCACTGAATAATGCATGATAAGGGTTGAAGATTTATACATCTACCTACTAGCCTACGTACCTATTATTGTTTTTTAATTATCTTGTTTGTTGTAAGTAGGTAGTGATCGAGTCTTCCTTTTTAATACGATATGACGGCAAATTAGATGAGGATTACCTGATGACCTGATGGTAAGCAGTCGGAGCCATCCATGGGCACTAGAATAATTACGAGAGCGCTGCCAGCCTTTTGGGAAATAGGGTTTCGGAGATCTAGGGATTGGGGGAGAGGAAAAGGATTGGGTTTATTATTCTCCGTTCAGGATTCCCTTATTTTTTATGACTAAATTCTTAGTTCAGGGCCGATATGGTTCCCACACGACAGTTGAGTTTGTAATGTTTTGGGCCAAAGGCGAGCTTTTATTAGATTATTATAAGCTCCTGTAAAGACTCACAATATTTTGTGAATAGGTTTTATGTGTTGTGTATTAGGAATAAATAATAGCATAATTAAAGTATAAAATTATTTATTTACAATTACAACAATAATATTTTGTAATATTAGCTATTTGTATTTCTTAAAAACTAATGAGAGTCTTAAATATTTGAAAATAAGGTCCATTTTCCACCGCATCTGTAAGAAATGTACAATATTAATATTTTTTTTAAGTTTATATTTATTTAGTGTTTCTAAGACACTCTACTTAGAAATTATAAGTAGACATAAACCTGCAGTCAGCTAGAAACCGTCCGTCGTAAGCGCATTGAAGCGGATGTTTGTTGGGTTGCGAGGCGGCGAGGGCACGCGACCCACAGCGCCCACACTGTCGCCACCGAGCTGGTCGGAGCCCACCACCTACATACATGTAGCTGAAATGAAAATGGACACCACATTTACACACAAGTCGAAAAGATGTTCCTAGCAACAGAGGTTGATACAAATATTGGTTGTATGTATTGGGTATTAATGACTTTAAGTATAAGCCTAATAGTGTCCAACTTCATGCATTTCCTTTATTCCGTCCTTTAAATTATTGACTGTGAATAATTACAAATATATCGGAATGAAATACCAGTAAATTAATTACTGTTTACTAGTAAACTTTTACCGAATGGCGTCCATAGTAATGGAAGGCGTTGTCTCGCATTGGGCGTACACTGGTGGTTCAGGATTATATCTTAACGCTTCAGGCTCCACACCATACTCCAACTGGTAAATTACAGATATAAAATATAAATAAGTACAAACATATTAGGAATATTAAATTAAAAAAATATCGATTTGAAAAAATTATCCTTTAGTTTTCTTTTAAATAAATAGTCGACTAATTAATACTTAAGGACATCACTAGTTTTGTATTTAATCAATAGTTTTTAAAAGTTTGAGCGGGAAATTAAAATTAATTTGTCAACAATAATAAAACTAAGATGGAAAATTGTATAAAATAATAACGATAAACTGAATTGCACTAAAATACACAAATATAATTTGTTATTCTAAAGAATAAAAGTGGCTTTTTAAATATTAAAAAAGTGAATAAACGAAAGAATTACCTATAATGAAGACATTGAGAAATTAATGATACAAGGCTATGAATGAGTCTATTCTTTTGTGATGATTGGCTGTTCCTTTATTTTTTTAAGCGTTTTAATCTTTGAAACTACGCAACAGATTTTGATGCTAAGTTGTTAATTACAAAAAGTAAAAAATAATTTATTCCAATTAGACCCTTACAGGCTCTTTTGAACGTCAAACAAAATTTTGAAGATATAGTGTCAGTCTGTCGGTCAGTCCTCTTAGTGAAGCTATTTGCTCGTTCCAAAGTGTAGATTCCGATGGAGAAGAACGAGCAAGAAACTCCATGGTTACTCTTTTTCAATCAGTTTCATATACAGATTCCTTTTACAAAGAGTTGGTTCAATTGTGTGAGAACAGTGTAACACTAACATTTATTCAGAAAATATAAAAAGAAAATAACCTTAAGGACAATAGACAGTCCGTAAATGGAGAAAGAGATTGAAGAGGAAGGTTTATAATTATGTATACCTAATAACATTATTTAAATCGTGGAGAAATTTAGTATCACTCTCGAACGCTTGTCGGATCGCTAGCTGTGAATATGTTTTAAAGGTGAATACGGTTTATAATACGTACATAGAGCGGCCACGGCTTGCCATGGGGCGCGGAGACGGCGCAGCGCGGCAACGACTCCCAGACGCGCGCGCCCGTCCATTGCGTGCCCAGCATGGCGCACTCCTCTGTATATATACATACATTTACTTTGTTTTATCGAGCAATAAAGGTAGTAATAATTTATTTTCAGTACAAATGGAAATAGGAATTTCTTTAAAAAAAAATAAAATTTTTGTAGTTATTCATTCATTGTTATGTATGCATAACAAAAATGTGATTTGTTAATTCAAGTGTTGGGTGACTTGTGAAAAGTGAGTATCTTCGTGTTTTAATAATATAAATAATCCATATATATTGTTTGTTATGGTCCAGTGGACGCTATTGTTTGTTATCGTCTGCTCTGGGTTTTAGTAAAACCCAAAGTCCTACTTTAAAGTGCATATGGACGATCGAACAAAACCGCTACTGAACCAACACTTTGGCCCTTTTAAAATACGCAATGAACCACCAAACACTCCATCGAATATAGTCCGAAGTAGTCAAAGTGGCGATCCGGTTCTACATGTATACTATTATTATAAAGCTGAAGAGTTTGTTTGTTTGAACGCGCTAATCTCCGGAACTACTGGTTCGAATTTAACAAAAATCTTTTTGTGTATAAAAGCTAAAACCTGTAGCAGCCGAGCAGTGAGTGAATCCGCGTGAGAAAGTTTGTATATTATAAATAAATAATAATAAGTAAGAGTACGACTGACCGAGCAGGTCCTGCTTGTGGGCAGCGGCGGGCGCGGCGGCGGCCAGGCGCGGCAGCGGGCGCGCCAGCAGGTCCGCGCCGCGCGCCGGGGGCCGCGCCGCCCGCGCCGCGCCCGCCAGCCGGCGCAGCAGCGACAGCCCCGACGCGTCCGATATCACCTCGTATCTACAACAACATATACATCTAGCACACCTATCATCGAGGTTGTGAATGAGGCACCACAACCTCAGAATAGGAGTAGGGACGGGGGGTTTTTAGTCAGTAAAAGTCTGACAAATCCAGGGTTGGGCGGGAGAAGTCATTTGGAAACATTCACTCACAAAAAAAAACACCTCACCATCATCAATTTCATCAGCCGAAAACGTCCACTTCTGAACAAAGGCCTCCCCCTTAGTCTTAAGTGGGAAAGCCAAGTTTCGTCACGGATGAGTCGGCTCAATCCTAGTGATACCACAGCTTTACAGAAAACCGGCGTGAAACAACCACAGCGTTGTGTTTCGCTGTATGAATGTGGTTACCGAAGGCCCAATTCCTCACCCTCTTCCCATGCTTTCCAATATTTAAATATCCAAAACCCTTACTGGCAACAACATACTCGTAATCCCTCTGGTGTTGCGGGTGTAAGTAACGCCGATTGCTTACCATCAGGTAATTCGTCTGCTCATTTGCCGACCTATACCTCTCTCTCTGTAACAACTCTTTGTGTGATCTACAAATTGTTGTTCTGGGTCTGGATGTGATGCGTATGTGAAATTTTATGTTTGTAAACGCACCCACAACAAAACGGGGCAAAGTTTCTTAAAAAAAAAAACAATTTGACCCACACAAGGATTTTCTCCTGTATCGTGGGTGCGTTTATAAACATACAATTTAACATACACATCACACCCAGACCCGGAACAACAATTTGTGGATCACACAAAGAGTTGTCTCGCCCGGCGGCGGTTGTATGGTTCCGTATACGTACGTATGGTGATGATGCGGCGCGGCCAGCGCGAGCAGCGCAGTGAGGCCGATGTCTAGCGCACGCTGCACGCAGCGACGCAGGGGCTGCAGGGCCGACGCCTCCACTACTGCTTCCGGCTTCGATTCTAGGGCTAGGAGGCTCTGGGAAATAAAGACCAAAGTTAATAGGTGTATCTTCTTTTTAACACTTAATATATATACTTTCCATCAGTCTTATTTATGGAATAGTTCGGCAAAACGAGCATACAGATTACAATTAAAACACCAAATGTGTTGCGATTGTGTTGCCATCGTTTTAGGGAATAGCGTTTGGGAGATTTAAGGATTGGGGAGTATTCCTCCCCAATCCTTAAGTCTCCGGGGGTGGGGAAGGTTTGGAATGATTCCCTATTGGATTTTAGAACCTATTGTCGGAAACAATCGTAAACTTGTAATAATACTCTGCTTGCCCCAGGGACAAAGGCGAGAATCAATGTGTATACAAATTGATTAAAAGTGCGGGAGTGCCATGCTTCGGCACAAATGGGTCGGCTCGATCGGAGTGATACCACGGCCTCACAAAAAACCGGTGTTACCGAAGGCCAATCTTTTTCCCATCCCCCAATTCCTGAACCTCCGAAAGTCCTTAACAACTCCTCTGGGTGTTCATGGGCGGCGGTGATTGCTTACCATCAGGTAATCCACCTGCTCATTTGCCAACCTATCCCATCAAAAAAGTTACCTTCTCATGGTCGTGCGAATGGTCGTCTAGGAGCGCGGCGAGCACGGCGGCGTCGGGCTTGTCGTCGGGGCGCAGCGCCAGCGACACGGCGGCCCACGCCCCCGCCAGCGACTGCAGGCATGTCAGCCACGACGCGCTGCTCTGCCCGCTCGGGATCATTCTGTACAACGATCAGGTAAATTGGAGGGCTGTGAGACATAGGGTATAAAGATCCTTTATTGAAAAGACAGGATCCTCCGACCAGATGAGTTGTCATGCATGGTGGACTCAATGGACATAATTGCGTCGGGAACTTTTATTTGACAAAGTAGAATCTTGAATGTGAATGGTGCTGTTGCTGCGTGTTGTACGGTAGATGTCGCTACAATAGTAATCAGTAAAATCAGAGCAATTTAATTTCAATTTTATTACAGTATAAATACCTGCATAGTGCTATCCTGAGCTTCAACCAATTGTGGTAGTAGTACTGCTGGAAGGCGGGCGGTTGGCGCTGGAAGGATTCCGTTATCCTGGAAATATGGATAAACAATAGCTAATTATGTCTAGGTCATTCTAATTTTAATCATCCAAATTAAAATCCCACCCAACCTATATTCAAATTCCACCCAACCTTTTTTCAATGTCAACTAAACTTTTATTCAAACACCACTAAACTCTACCTTAACACTAACCAAACTCAATTCAAATCCCACCCAACTCCATCCAAAACCACCCAACACTTTCTAAACACTACCCAACTCTTTCCAAACACCACCCAACTCTATCCAATCACCACCCATCTCTATCCAAACACCACCCAACTCTATACAATCACCACCCATCTCTATTCAAACACTCCCAACTCTTTCCAATCACCACCCAACTCTTTCCAATCACCACCCATCTCTATCCAAACACCTCCCAACTCTTTCCAATCACCACCCAACTCTTTCCAATCACCACCCAACTCTTTCCAATCACCACCCATCTCTATCCAAACACCACCCAACTCTTTCCAATCACCACCCATCTCTATCCAAACACCACCCAACTCTTTCCAATCACCACCCAACTCTTTCCAATCACCACCCATCTCTATCCAAACACCTCCCAACTCTTTCCAATCACCACCCAACTCTTTCCAATCACCACCCATCTCTATCCAAACACCACCCAACTCTTTCCAATCACCACCCAAGTCTTTCCAATCACCACCCATCTCTATCCAAACACCACCCATCTCTATCCAAACACCACCCAACTCTTTCCAAACACCACCCAACTCTTTCCAAACACCACCCAACTCTTTCCAAACACCACCCAACTCTTTCAAACACCACCCAATCTCCTTCTAAACCCCGTCAGTACTGACCTCTCATAGAGTAGCTCGAGTACATTATGGCTGGGCGCGGCGGCCAGCAGTACGTCGAGCGGGTCCCGCGCCGCCACCAGCGCCCACTCCAGCACGCCCGTCGCCAGCTGTACCGCCAGCGGGGTCGCTGCGGACATATTCTATGATTACTTCTGTCAATAACTATGTATGTAGTATAATACAAAGTCGCCTTCTCCATTACTGGAGACCTAACTCCCCCCTCCATCCCAATCTCCAAACCACAAATCCACAATCTCGAAATCTCAAAACTCCAGAAACATACTCGTTACTCCTCGGTTGCTTACTATCAGGTTATCCAGGTGACCTCAGCTGATCGTGTTCACCCTATACCATAATAAAATGAAATTCGAAAAAAAATAAATAAAATCCCAAGTAGCTAAAAAGAGTACTCACGTATGTCAGCCCAGGGCTGCGGCAGCCGGTAGACGTGTAGCTGGGCGTGGGTGTCGATGGCCACCAGTACGCCCCCCAGGTGAGACATCTCCACGCACGACACTATCGCGCAGCCGTCGCCGCCCTACGTGCAAACATATAAATCTTTTACTCTCTCCCCCATCCCCAAAAACTCTAAGCCTCATATCACCAAAAGACACCGGCAACGCACTTGCGACTCCTCTGGGTGTCCATGAGCAGTGGCAATCGCTTACCATCAGGTTAAATAAAATCAATTATTAAACGTCTTAGGAAACCGGCGTGAAACAACTACAACGTTGTGCCACGCCGTATCAATTCCCACACGGAACAACACTTTAGAATCGTTTACAAAGTTGCTACTAATACTGCTACTCTATGGATCAATGGTCTGAAATAAATAAATTATTATTATAGTTCGTTTCCGTTCACGGGATCACATGATCCCGGACCTTTGGAAGGCGTACGAGGGGCCGAAGCCAACTCGCAGAGGTCCGTTGAACATCTTTAATATAAGTGAAATGGGACATATTATTATTATTACTAGAATCCTGTTAGCATTTGCTATTTTATATCGAATACTATAGATGAAAAATTATTTTTATATTTGAGTGTATTTATTGTGTTTGAATGTGTCTCACCGACGCGCCGTTGGGTCCGTATTTAGTCTTCTTGGGCGGAGTGGAGGCTGCCTCTACTGCGGACAGACCGCCCGACGTTACCACTGCGCGACTGCATATCTGATAATATTATAAACAATTAGCTGACTTAGCAAACTCCGAATTAGAGATGTTATGGATATGAAATTTCGGATACGGATTGGTTATGGATACAGGAATGATTAAATTCAAATTACTTTATTAGTAGATCATAGGTTTTTATAATAACTATCGTGAGACATACTAAATGAACTAAAAATCGCGGGTTACTCACGTGTATATATTGAGAAAAGCTCTACTAGTTTCGTACTAGTACGTCGCGCAGCCTACTGGCGCGCGACGTCGCCGCGTCCGCGCACGGTGCTCATGAGGAAGAACCCCTCTGTGGTTCGAAACTAGTAGAGCTTTTCTCAATTTATACACGTGTAACCCGCGATTTTTAGTTAATTTAGATCATAGGTTACAAAAGGTGTTACAAGCTTATTAATATACTGGGTACGGTTACGGATAATGATATTAAATTTTAAGGAACTTCAAAAGTAAAATACAAGCATAACATTTCCCAATTAGGCTAAGGCAATCCTCAAATAAATCCTCTCCCGCCCAGGGTCGGGAGAGAGGGAGTGTCAGACTCTTACTGACTAAAAGCTCCCCTGTTCCTTCTCCTGCTCTGTGCCGAGGTCGCGGTGCCTCATTGCACTTACCCCTCCACCCCGGCTGAACATCAGCTCTATAGGGGCCCGTCGGTGGTGGTCTATTCTGTAGTGTGCCGCAGCGGCTGGGGCGTGAGGAGGAGGATAGCTCCCTCACGCAGTCCGCCTCCTTCTTTCCAAGCATAACTACTTCACAGAAACAGAATGCTATGGCCTCGACTAAGACACGAGAGGTCTATTGGTGCGTAGAATAATTAGCCTTACATAATGATGCGTATCCCTCGCCAGTAGATGCAGGGCCCTAGGTGTGGCGAGCACGGCGTGAGGAGGCGCGGCGGGGTGTCGCGTACTGGCCGCGCACACGCCGCGCTCCCCGCCCTCCACGCCCCACGCCGCCGTCTTCTGCCACGCCTGGAGCAATATATACATTATTGAATGAAGATAGAAAGAAAGACATTAGTGAATATGTTTATAGAAATACAAACACCCAAATATACTTTTCTAATAGTAGTATCTTTTCTGTTTATCATACACACGCATATAAAACACAAAGAAAGGAAAAGCAAAGTATCAATTTATAATTTCCGGAATAATGTTACCTACGATTTAATAAAGAAAAGCTAATATAGTGTAGTATATACATACATATATGTAGTCTAAAAACCTTGTATCCAGGTTTCTTTACTTTTTTGTGAACGAGTGATGTGTGAACAGGAGAGAATGAATGATGAAGACGGACTAGACGGACAGAGGAAGGAAGACGTTTTTTTCTAAGAAGTATTTTGTTTTTTTGTAAAAGAAGTAAAAATCTAATAAACAAGTCATTATATTCGAGCCACGTTATTTTATTTCGGCCTCAATCCTACATATATATTATTTATAGCATTTTAATTAGCATTTATTCAAAATTGTACATTTGACAACCCATATTTCAGAATCCTATTATAGCTTCATCCAAAGGTTGTCTGTAAGAGATCGCCTTGTGCGATAAGACCGCCCATTGTACACTCAATGTTAGTAAGCTATCCTTTATAACTATGTGGTGTACAATAAAGTATGTATAATAAATAAATAAAATATTACTAATAAATAGCTATGTTAATTTAGACATCACAGACATACGGTGAAGGAAAACATCGTTAGGAAACCTGGCCTTGTAATTCTTAATTATGCCTAACCCGCCTTGAGCAAGTGTGGTGATTAATGCTCAAACATTTCCTTGCATTTGTTCTACAGTGGGCGGGCACGCATAGGCTGATCATATATTATGACTTGACAAATGTCTGCGATTAATTTTATTGTTGTCAATAATATTTTATAAATTTAAATGCTTTCATGCTATCAAATTAGTTAATAAAATAAGATCTAGTACTTACGAGAGTACTGAAGCAGTCTAGACCTGGTTTGGGCCCTCCTCCTGGCGTCGTACTGCCTTGTAGAGGACCTAGTTAGGGATGAAACACATTCATGAAATTCCCATTTATGAATTACCCTTTATAAGATTAGTATAAATAAATATTCATTTATTATTTTCATAGGAACCAAATAGTAGTAGAGCCTATAGATCTAAGGGCTCAAAACTAGTTGAGCGTATCCCGTATACAATAATGTGATAGATTATTACACATACTTAAGTATTATAAAATCGTAATTAATATTTATCGTTCATTCACAACATCATAGAAGTTAAAGAAAACATATTTCAAGCGCTACAAAAAGCGACAAATCACAAGCATTCTACGTTTCTATAATCAAGACCAGATAGCTATATGCTCGAATAACTTCGAGTCATCATGGGATCCATAAACTTAATATCCGAAACAAGTCGAGCATTATTATCGAAATATGATTTTTATGACGATTTTCGGTGGTTACCTTTGGCGAATAGTTTGTGGACTTGATGAGCTCTCTCAGTACACTTCCACAGCGAGAGCGCGGCCCCCGCCACCAGTAGCGAGTCGCACTCTTCGCGCCCGCACCATGATATCGACACTGGATGAGGAAACTACATTATTATATATAAATACAGTTTCACATAATTAGGCTCATTGAATACTTTTAGGGGAATGTTTTAAACAATTTTTTTTATGAAATTTTGTACAAGTCGTCGTCATATGTTTGCTGTATTTACTACGACAAACTCGAAAATGAAGTACTTAATAATTAGTTTTTTTTTATTTTATTACATTCGTAAATGTTATACACGGGAAAATTTATTATTATTTTATTAATTTATTATATATTGTAACTTTTTCACTTAAAAACCACTAAACAGGTTCAAATGAAATTTCGCAATTAGTTAGAATACAGCCTGGAGCCCAATGACCTATTATATATAGACACGTCATGAACCAACATCGCGGCGCTTAAAAACGGCGAAAATACTAGATAACTACTTCTACGAGTAAAGAAAGGGAAAGAAAATATGACATCGTATAGTAGAATGCCTTTGCTAGAGGGAGATAAATATACATCTTCAGTTATGCCGACGGCACGTGACTATACCTTCATGCGCCGGCCGCCACAAGATGGCGGGCGCCGGCGTCGAAAAAAATAAAATAAAAATAGGTTGTTTGGTGAACTTACGCATGAAATGACACATTTTTGTCTTTAACTTTTGGAGTATAATTTGTACATCGTCTGAACACACACGACGACATGCTTTCTTTATGTTTCGCACAGGTTTACACACACGACATAAATTAAAAACAAACGTAGCGTCGCGCGGCAGGTTGGTGCGTAACTAAGCGCGATGTTGTCAATTGCCTTCATTTCATGTTGTCATTTTAGAGCGCGGACAACGTATCTATAGTTTTATACATCATTGCTGGAGCCTGATACTGCGGACAAAGCTGGTTGCTGTCAGGGAGAGCCGTATGTAGTTTTAAGTAAAACACACTCTCAAATATATGTGGGAAAAAAGGATTTAATTAAATAACGAGTAAGAAGTTTTATATGTTGTCATAAGATAGTCGATGGTAAGAAAATGACAATGTAAAGAAGAAAATGACAATAAAAATTGACTTTTGTTTGTTTAGAAGAAAAATATAGTTTATTTGAAGATTTCGCTGCTGTTTTCCAAAAGAATCATCCCACATATATAAGTTTGATAAAAAGGTATTCTTATAAGAAACAGCGTAAGAATGCTCGTAAAACTTCCCATCAGAATTCCCGTTGCACTCTTTGCGCGGGAAAACTTTATTAATCTGCCAGAGTTGACAGATGACAGCGTCAACATGGCAGCTATTTTTTTTTTAGTTTATGGCCTGTATACAAGTCCTTTAAGCCAAACACGGCAGCTAGTGTTGTCGAGAGCACAGATTAAATTAGTGACGTTCACGTAGTGTAAGAGTAGGTGTGTATAGTAAGGTGTGTCGGACCGGGCTGCGCGTCGTGCGGCGGCAGGTAGATGGTGGGCAGCGGCTCCAGCGCCAGCGCCGCCGCCGACACCGACACACACACCACGCGCACGCACCAGCGCCGCGCCCCGCCGCCCCCGCCCGCGCCCCCGCCCCCGCCCCCGCGACATACCATCGCCACTGCCAGGCTGCCGTCTGGACAGAAAACACACAAACACACATGGTTATTTTGGTACAAGTACAACCAATACGATAGTTTCCAATTAGTCAAATTCAATACTTTTATCTAAATGTCAAAAACTATACTTTTCTATGAAATCCCAAATTATGACGTCATAGTATTGTTGAGTCCGAACTTGGTGTTCCTGTAATTAGGTATTATATTTAATTATATAAATTATTTTCTCAATAAAATCTTATTAATTTATTATTTTTATGGCTGGACATGGATCTCCCCTGAGACTCGATGCTCTTCTCATCCAACCAATGCCTGCCATCTTGCGGATATCGTCAGTCCACCAAGCTGGAGGGCGCCCTACACTACGTTTGCCTAGACGTACGCCCGGTTTCTGAAAGGCTTGTCAACGCTAAAATTATCTAATCTCCTGTTAAATCTCTTGTCAAGTCATCTGATTGGTCGTTGATAATTCAGTCAACCAATTAGAAGACTTGACAAGAAATTAAATTGATTTTAACATTGATTGGCCTTTCGGAAACCGGGTGGTAGTCTTCACTTTAGAATACGTCAACTCCAAACACGATTTATTATTTTAAATTTAACTCAAATAAAACAGCAACTATTACTTACTTTTATGCGCAATGCTGACAGCGGTGATGTGGTCCCTGGTGGGGCGCAGACAGTCGGTGGTGACGGTGGCGCGCGTCCCCTCCGCGGGAGGGACGAGGGCACCCACTAACCCTGTCGCCGTCACTATGCACGCCCCCTCGCTCGCCACGCCGCTGTCACAAAATATACAGCTAGGTACTACTTTTGTGTCTTTAATCTATATTTAAGCACAATTGCCAATCACTAATCACGAAACAAGATTTTCTGTGGGATAACGTGACGGTTCTAAGTAAGCCCTCTGACACTCGCAACACCAGAGGAATGACGAGTGAGTAGCCGGCCTCTTGGAGGATCATTAGACTGCACAACACCAGCGTTGTTTCACGCCGATCTTCTGACAGCCATGGTGTCACTCCTATCAACACGGCCAACAGTGCCTGTACTATATTTAGCCGAGTTGGACAATTTGATAGTAGGAAATCTCGTTTCTAATTCTTAATAATGATGACCAAACTATGTTTCTAGAAACACCCTGTATACGGCGAACACGACTTCACGCCATCTAGTGTACAGAAAACTATGAATAGTTTTTATTATTAGGAGCATATTTACCCGAATCCCTTGAGCGTGGGCGCACAGCGCAGCATCTGTATCCGCTCCGAGATGGGAGCGTCAGGCTTCTTGTCCACCATCACAGCGCGGCGCCCGTTGTGGAAGAACGATGCGCCTATTATGTGCTCACCTAAAGAAAACCACAAAATAAACATTATATATAACTTATTTGCAGTCCTGTATGCTCTTCAAGGCCCTAGCACAGCGTATGCATTACCAAGACAGATGTACTGCGGCCTGGTTCGAAGCAGGAGAAACAATAGGGTGGGTTTTTGTCAGTAAGAGTCTGACACTCCCTCTCGCCTCACCTAGGATGGACGGTGAAAATCCCTCCAAGAAACGAGACAAACACATAGAATGTAATAGACAATGGGATGCAACCACTCCCTGCCGATCCGACTCTTTAAAGTGAGCACTCACACCATTAAACAAGTAATTCTCATATATAACCATTGCAATGAAATTATGAATGTTAATATTGGGCTGATGCAGGGCAAGCACAATGCCTTGGTCTAGAGCAGGAGCAGGACCAGGGGGGTGTTTAGTCAGTAGGCCGCGCGACGTCGCCGCGTCCGTGCACGCTGCTCATGAGGAAGAACCCCTCTGTGGTTCGAAACTAGTAGAGCTTTTTACACTTTACACGTGAGTAACCCGCGATTTTTAGTTAATTTGGGTGTTTAGTCAGTAAAAGTCCGATACTTTACCTAGGTTTCATTCTTAACAAAGAAGCTATAATAATTTACACACAATACAGCTGTTTATGTAATGTTTTGTGTGCAGACCTGGGAAGCTGGCAGTGTAGATGCAAGTCCACTCATTGAGCAGGTAGTCCTTCTGTGTGAACACTGACACTTCCCCCACTGTGTTGGCCACCAGTAGCTGCTTGCCCTCTATGTCCCATTCCAGCACTGATATCTGATGGGGATATTAATATATTATTTAATTATGTATTTATGCATATATATTATGTAGTACTGGCAACCCTGGCTAGGCACAGGTGCAATACTGATACTAAATTTCTGCAATATTTAATGGATAATTAAACATATATGCCAGCCTCTTCAATCACTGTATCTTAAAAAATGCACATCAAAATTATGTTGCATAGTGTTAAAGATTTAAGCATGTATATAAGGACAGAGAAAGTTACTATATTTTATACTATTGTAATGATAACCAAAATCAGAAAATAATAAAAAAAGAAAAGACCAAAAGACCTTTATTGTATAAATTTTGCATTGTCTTGTAAATATTTGTTTTGCTTTAAATATTTCCTGTTGTGGCAGCAATACAAATACATCATTTGTTTAATTTTTCAACTGTCTAGTTATTACTATTCATGTGATACAGCATGGTGATAGATAGAGAGACACACATAAAATATGGCCAGGGAACCTCATTATAATGAATCACATATTTACCCTTTAGAGTCTATGAAACCCTAAAACTGATTATCTGATCATGGACCTAGTAACAAAGTATTATTTTTATCCATGTTGTAACAAACTTTTTATCAATGATAGGTAATTTGCCAATTGCTCTTATATTTAACCTTTAAATTGTGGTAATTCAAGACACAATAGATGAATAATAGGTGTGTCAACACCAGCATTCCATAGAGGGTTTGATACTTACAGGATAAGCACTGCTTGTAACCCTATGACTGTCCCACGGAGTGTCCAGGTCACACACAAACACATGCCCACCCCATGTGTCTCCCTCCGTGTCATTCAGCTCCGTAGGAGAGGAGAACGCAATTATATTGCACGTCGATATCGTGCAGATTGGCCGCACCACTTCAGGGTCAGTTACACTGGAAGATTTTTACAAAAACTCTTGATTGTTTGCAAGCATTTCGATTATTTGTTAAAATATCCTTGTATCAATAAAGGCATTCGCAAGATAATATGTATACTTAATAAATGTGAATAACTTCAATGCAAATAGGTGCAATGTTTGATAACATAGTTAAATAAAGATTTGTGTGTACTAGTAAGTTGTTATCTCGTTTACCGCAGGAAACTGCTAAAAGTATTAATTTTCTTGTACAATAGATATTAAAATACGGATGGATTTATATGATAAAAGTGGTAAATACCCAAATATTCATGTAAATACATCCAAATTTAAAACCAAACAAACTGGACTACCTTTCAAAGTGTGGCGGCTCGCATTTCAGAGGCTTTCGCCTCATTGAGTAAATTAAATCCATGCTGTAAAGTCTTAGTCAGGTTTACAAATGATACTTAATGAATTTACATTAGGTTTTTCTTTATAAAATAAATAAATAATGCATCTGAAACTAAAAGTTTACAGCGAAAGCAAGCCAAATGTGACATTCACAACCCACAACTGTATCTGTCAGTGTCAAATAACACTGTCATTATAAATAGGCTGTAACATTGATGTTACTAAACGTATTACACAAATACCTTATATTACAACATCAACAACAACTACAACTAAGATATAATATTATATAGACCGACTTAAGAATATGAAAAACAAAAGTTCGTGCATGCTCTCAAATTAAAGGTAGGCGCAACATTTAAGGAAAAAGCAGATGATTATATTAATTTTATTTATAATTCTGAGTAATAAAAAAACTACAAAAAACTACTGTGCACTTTTTATTTAAAATCGATTTATACTGAGATTTTCATCGACTCGAGCGAATGAATGCACGCACTATTCCTGTGGCTATCTTCAAGTCACGTAACCGTCAAACACTGCAAGCTTCACGCTATATGAAGTTGCCGGACATTGCCCTTTCATTATTGAGTTGTGTTTCCGAACGCAGCGGTACTCGCTCGAAGATGGCGGATCGTCCGTAGTAACATCGACATTTAGCTTTGTGAATATAATCACAAAATATTCGTGAATTTTATGTGAAGATGTGATTCGTATGAATTAAAACATATTGTGTAGTGTTGTTAAAGTGATTTGCAACATGTGCCGGACAGGGATGTGTCGTTTCGGTGTCGGGAACTGGATATTCTTGTTCGCCTGTCTCCATTTGTTTACATACGCTCAAGGTAAGCTCCTTATAAATATTACCATTTGCTATCGATCTTTGCTCTTGAAACTGCCGCTAATAACAGGATCTGTGTAATTATGCAGAAATTGCATCTAGATGAAATTTAAATACTTGACTGTAAGTATCTGATGTATCATTTTAGATTTGAATACGCTATCGGAGTCGATTTCTCCCGACTCGACGCTATATTACTTGCATATACTTATATAGGACTTTATTGTTTTATGGTCCGAACCGAGCTTTAACAAGTGGTCCAGTTAATTTATATTCTCGCTCATTTTTTTATTTAATTCTTTCCAATTTAGGCAGAGGTAGTGCTTATCCTGTCAATGCAGTATGCGTATTTTTTCGTCCTTTTTCATTGCATTCGGGGCTCCGGCGGCCCTTCGCCCTCGCCGTACATAAATCTCGCATTATTGACTGCGCCGGGTTAATTAGGTTTGTAAACAGATTGTAAAGTTTAACGAGTCCTATTAGAATGGTTTGGATAGCTTCCAAAGTTTCTCATTACGGTTGTTTACTTAATTTAGTGATTGATTCCGATTAGTGTTGTGCCGATGTGTGGGTTGTTGCCACCGAAATAGTCGGTTTATTTGAATAGAACTGAATCATTGACTATTCTTACTAAACTATCCGCAAATAGGTAACTAGGTATTTTAACAACAAATTGGCTATAACTTGTTCCAAACTTTTAGAGCACCTAACTCTCAGAAACGCGTCATTCAAAATTAGGTATTTTATCATACTTAATTGTAGCGAAACGAAAACGGTTGTCTGCGTTCTAATCTTAAATAATTGAACTTTATTTACCTAAAGACGTATCTAAGGTCTAGGTCACAAGTTCATCATTCGTTGTGCGTTCGTTATACACTTAAGTTGATTATCTAACCATTTATTTATTCCATATTTCAACAACTGGACCAAATTGGCACTGTGTCCGAAAGAGGATCAAGTTAAAAGGACACTCATATGACGAGCATGAAGGAGGTAAATTAATGAATGTTGGTAGATGAAGCATATGAGGTACTTGGTTACATTGTCTCTGCATCTACCAATTATTATAGAAAGGCGTAATGATATGTCCGTATCAAGCAGTTCCGCTCGTCCTTGTTTCGTATTCCTCAATCCTAAGGGTTGTGACCTTTCTTCATCACTCTTTCACGTACGATCTCCCCGTGATCGACCGTGTGGAGAGCGTTGTGGAATCAGTGGCCCGAGTGGTAATGCAGAAAGCATTAGGTCCGTATAAAAATCATACTTATTGTTTTTTTCTCATATCAGCACATCATCGCATCCATCCATCCACACACCTCACCCAGACTGGGAACATCAGCTTTTGTCATTGAAAGAGTTGTTCGGGAATGCACCCGCGTAATTTTGCTCAGCTGTCGCTCGGATAGCGTTAATTCAATCGTGTCTTTCGAGCTACCTAAGTACTGGCTAACAATAGTTGACAATAGCCGTCTACCTTCCAAGTATTTAGAAAGCTGCAACTAGGAATTCTGACATGGTAACTATACGTAACCGCATCTATAGTCAATCTGGTACATTCCTCCACAACTATGCATATTGCATAGGTACCTCGGACTTAGGCGCAGTGGAATTTAGGATATTTACGCGACTGACTTGCGACTGATCGACAATGCGATTAATCGTGTAACTAAATGCTTTCCCCGGGTCAGAGGTGAGGAAACGTGAAGAAAAAGAAGGTCGAAGTGACATGCCCACTTATTTTAAAGAATTTGGAAAGTGAAAAAACTTGTACAATAATGTTTAGACACATTTTCGATGTTTTATTCGTCTTTCTTATGATTGTGTTACAAAGTAGTTTAGAAATAATATTTTTAACGTATCTCACACTATTTAAATAAGTGGTATTAATTTTGTACCACAACTATTTTTCATCACCATTATCATCAGCCTGTTTCCTGTTTCATCAACTTCATACTACCAATTATTCTAGCTAGTTTTTGCCTCTAGTACTCTCTGTAATCACTGAAAAACCCAATATCATTCTCGGTGGTACTTGAAGGCATAATGCAATTTCAAACGATTCTAAACAACAAAATCCTATAAGTTCTGGTATTTAAAATTAGAAGTCAGTCTAAGAATTCTTTAAGTAAATTCTTCAAAGTAAGTAAGTAGCTGAAGTAACTTCTGACATAATATTCATTTTGCATAAGCTTTACTTCTTATGGGACACAACCAGTGTAACGTGGTGTAATGGAAGGCGAAGCAATCACGATCCGCCTACAGTTTATAATCCGCGCACAAATTGGGAGCTCCCGTCAACTCTTCTACATAATGCAAATTTATGAGCTGCACAATGAACAATGATTTCGGATTAAAACACCACAGAGCTCCCGGTTCGGTCACAATTACTAAATTCGACCTGTTTCGTAATCTGAGCGCCTGGTACCACTGGTGTGTGACGAATTCGATTTTGTGGTTATCGAATCGCTTAGTTAACAGAGGAAATGTGTGGAATATGCTGACTGCATGGTTGGCGCAGTCGCTGGGCAACTGGCTGCTGAGCAACGTTTCGGGTTCGACTCCCGCACGGAACAACACTTTGTTTCGGGTCTGGGTGGCTTGTGTATGTGAATTTTTATGTTTGTAAACGATCTCACGACACAAGAGAAAATCCTAATATGAGGCAACGATTATTTAAATAAAAATTTAATTAAATAAAGAAAATATCGTAACTTTAATCTTTTCGAAGGTTATCAACCACAGGTCCGACAAACTAAACATAATAAAAGTCTACTGAGTTTTAAAACTTACGCATTTTTTATTGTTAGACAACAGAAAAAAGTACTTAGATCAATAGCTGATGAACCCTGTCACCGACTATGGGATCAAACAAAAGTTATTAGTGAACTTAGCAAGGAACGATATTCGGTCAATTTCTACAAGATATAGAAAAAAGTTCTAGTGCTAAAACAAATGAGCTAGCCCGCCAACTTATTAAGGATAATTGTAGAAAGGACTAGGGAAAGGACTGCACGTCCAGCCGCTAACACTTCCACACACGATATATTTGCTTATAGATCGTGTGGGGATAATTAAAACCAAAACAACACGTACTACCTATATTATTGACAACAGTTGCATGACATTTACGACCTTAAGAAATAACGAACAACAAGAAAAGTGGTTCAAAGTACCACAATTGTACACAAAGTACACACTTTTTGAAGAAAACTCGTTAGAACAAATTTAATGGTTCATTCAATGTTTGAAGAGCTTTATAGGGTATCTAGAAACATTTTACGACAATTGGAAAAGGACAAACGTAATCAAAGTTGGGTCATAATTAAAGTTAATTCAAAAAGTAAACATTACATACATCATACGGGGCCCAACAAGGCTCTTGTTGTCCAGGCTGGGAAGCCTGGAGAAGGATAAAGATTGGGATGGTGTCTAGCCAGTAAGAGTCTGTCACCCCCTCTTGCCCCATGCAGGTCGAAAGGAGTCATTTGATGGTTTTGGGTCCTGAAAAAAAAATTGCTACCGCGGAACATGGCTTACAGAAGTCGGTAGACTGGGTCGGTGTGCAAGGTGCTGGTTTAAAATAAACCATCAACTTCAAGATTTAAGCTAGGCTTTAGACAAAAGGTGTTTTTGTTTTGCTAAGTTTTTGACTGGACCTGTGTAACTATTTGTTCGGTAAAGTCCGTTATTCTAACCACAGCGGAAGAAAAATGTGGTGGGTGCTAAATGAGTAAACACGTCAAATTTATTTATTTTTCAAAATTAATTAAATTAAATTTATAAAATTAGTTAATTGCCTAAATTTGGATTAGTAAAGTGTAATAACTGTATAGAGTAAGTGCTACAACTTGCCAGGTCCATGTAAATTAATTTAACTTGGCCACCACCTGCCAGCACATCAACTTTAATTTTACCACAAGCACAGAGCAGAGACAAACAATGTCACAGATCACTGATATCATCACTGTCCATAAGAATGTGCAGGAAAGCTTGCTGAAGAGGATGGGTGATATAGAGGCTCAAATCCAGTCAGCTGGATCGTCGAAGGACACCGTGGCCAGGATAGCTGAGGAGTTCCGCACCTTCCGGGAGCTGGTCTTTGATATGTTAAAGCTGCTGCGGAGCCAGGTCACAGAGTGCTGCAGAAATATAGATGGCCTTGAAATGCGAAACCGTCGGAAGGCTGTTATATTTCAAGGCATCCCAGAGAAGGACAAGGAAGACTGCAGCCAGGTAACGTTGCAAGTCATTAATGCCAAATTGGGCCAGGATTTCCCAATGTCTGCGCTTAAGGTGTGTCACCGACTTGGAGTGCATAATAAAAATCATCATAGGCCAATCCTGGTTCGGTTCTCTAGTGTGGACTACAAGGCTTCGGTCTGGAGGGCAAAGACTCGACTACGGGGCACCAAAATCTCTGTCAAGGAATTCCTGACTAGGCCCAGACAGGAGGTATTTGTAAGAGCGCGTCAGCATTTCGGCATGCGTGCTTGCTGGACTCAGGACGGTAACATCTTCCTCAAGGCGTCCGACGGAAGCAAGCACAGAGTCATTTGCATGGAAGAACTTAGTCCTCTCCTTGACAAATATCCTAGTGTGCAGAGTGTGTCGCAGAAGGCAGCCGGGGGCGGAGCAGAGGCACATACGGTGAGCCTGAAATCAACACGCAAATAGTTTAACTTGGCTAGATCAACTAACCATACTGTGCGAGAGGTTTTTTTCAACAACTTATAAACTTACCGTTTGTGTTTTTATGTTATTCCTGTTCCCGTTTTGCTATAAGTTGATTTCCTGTGATCTGCAATATCTTTACTTGTACTTTTCTACCCACAATTCTTGTTGCAGTACTTTTCCTTTGTTCTCTTTTAATATCATAGTATCATACGAAGTTACCCCGCAAACTATTTGTTAATTATTGTCGTTAAAACTTATTTATTATTCATATCAGTGTCACGAAGATCTAGCCGTCACTTGTCATTGTCATCGTGACATTTCCACCCTCTA